ACGGCGTCGTTCTTGAAGTTATGGGCGCTCTGGTTTTGGAGTGTGAGCAGTTAGGAATGTGTTGGAAGGTGGGGGATAGCTCCCTCGGGCGTTGTTTAGGAGCCGGCAAGAACAAAAAGCTCCAAGGTTGTTTTGGCTTTGAGAAGGGCATTGTACGCCTAATTGTTCTCCGATACAAAGCACCCATCTCCCCAAGGAGCACTCTTAAAAAGGGAGTGTGTCAACAGGACTGTTGCTCAGGATGTCTGTTGACTAAGCTACCATGATAGGCTAAACATCCGGTTTACTTTCAAATCCCTTATATGTGATAGGAGCTTAAGTTTCACAACAACCCGTTTGGGGTTTAGGGCTTTTAATCACATCCCTGTCTAATCCCCAAGAGGACAAGGACCCCCAAAACACCTCCATCTCGGCCCTCTTCGCACTCGACATTCCTAAATCCGTTTGCTCTGCTCCTCAGCCGTAAACTTTAGGGTTTAGAGTTTAGGGGTTTAGGGTTTGAACGTGAAGCGAGCCATTGAAATGCAAGCACCCGGGTGCCAAAGACAGACTGAGAGAGGCCTCGGCTGCTGTGTGCATGAAATCCATGTTCTCCTTGCGGTGTCGTACCCGGTAGGGCTCGCCTTTGCACTCCGAGCTTTTGGGGGGGGGGGGGGGGGCCTAAGCATGGGATAGTTATAAGTAGGGTTATAAGTCCCCTAATGCGGGTGATAAGTATAGTAGTTACCCTACTTATAGGGATGGAGTTGCGGTTCTTCAAGCTTAATATCCCCAGGACCGAGAATAATACATATGGGACTTTCCGGAAATAGGGGACCCTGATAAGGTACCCTAAATAGTAGGATCCTTGACATAAGGGTCCCAAAATAAGGTATCCCTATTTTCGGAAACTCCCATATATCTCTGTGCGAACAGTGCCACTAGCTACACTACCAGCCGTCATGAAAGACGGCTTGGCTGAACTTAGACATTCCATGCCTTCATTTCCTTGGGCATCCAGTGCGCTCTCGTTTTCTGCACTGGACCATGCAGTAGAGCCGAAAAGTCATGTAAAAGAAAGCCTGAAGCCTAAGCTCTATCCTGGAAACCTCTAAGGCCCGCCCCAAATATCTCTGACAACTAAATCGTAGCGACAACTAGATGGTCAAACTCATGTATGCATGTATGCGTGCATGTATGTGTACGGCGTGCGTATGTTTTTGTATGTTCATGTCATATGTACATGGGGTTCCTGTTGAACAACGGACCTCCTACCTCAAAAGGCACTTTGATCGCGATCATAAGTTTCCAAGCTTTGGTCTAGTCGGCTTCGCTGGGGACATTGTAGGCTGCGTTTCCCACGTTTGTCTCGGCAAGGCCGAGACAAAATGGATGAAAGGAAAGTAAACGATCCTGCAATACCTGGGCTTGCTCTACTTGTTCAGGATCCTACCCTCAACCCTCTTTCCCTCACACTAAACTAAGCGTAAACCCTTGTGAAGGTTCAAACTCGAAGAAGAAAAAACCGACTCAGAGCAATACCCTGCACTCTGACCCCAAATACAGTGCGTCTCGCCTAAGGGCTGGATGGATTCTGTAATACATACATACATGCATGCATGCATACATACATACAAGTAAACAAAACTATACATACATACATACATACATACATACATACATACATACATACATAAATACATACATGTATACATGCATACATACATACTACATACATACACCCACACATCTCTATACATATATATATATATACACATGTATGTACATATGGAGGAAAGGGAATATAGTCGCTCTTTTTTTAAACCTCTACGATAGCCTGCCCCCAATCCTGCGGACAAAGATCCATTAATCATCAAGAGCTCATCGTAGATCCTGTGAGCAGCGTGCGCACAAAGAACAAACAGGGTCTATTGTCTGGCAGCTGCAGGAGGATGTTGGATGCAAGGTCCTTGGGGGTGTGGGGTTCAACGGGAAAGCATGTTATCGGAGGAGCTCGCACCATAGATTCAACAGGCTTCGCGGTATAACTTTAGAGCTTAATGTTCATGCCTCTACCAGACACTATATCAATACGTATTTAATGGCTTCTATGGTCTGCGCATACGTGTATAGCAACCGCTTGGAAGGTCAACTTATTAATTGAAAACAGCACAGGGATTTTTGCGGATAGCCTTTATCATACCCCTATAGAACCTGTATAATTGCAAGGTCTTCGTGCCAATGCGATACTTACTCCGGCCGGTTCCTACATTTTCCTAAGGGAGAAAGTGTATACCACAGAGGTACACAAAGTAGATAGTCATCGTTATGCATCTAGACGTGGCAATAGCGAACCCCATGAGGGCCCTTGCCCCTGCAACTTTCAGCCTGCTCCGTGCAAGTTTCAGTCTATCCAGAATGAATGTCCGAAAAAGGATCCTGCCTGCATAGTGCTCCTAATCCTGTACACAGTACTGCCCAAAAAAGACTTCGGGACGATATATAAATGAGTAAACAAATACGTAAGAAAACAAATAAACATGTCAACACATCGTACATATATATATATATACATGAAGACATATATATATATATATATGTATCATGTAGAGATCTTAAATGCTGACGCCCAGAGTACTAAGACTACGACTTCCTCGCTGAATGCCCTGGCCCCCGAAAGGGATTAACATCCGACCAAACCTTATCAATCATGGTAGTGGGGGCAACATACATACGAACTGCATCCGTCCGTCGGTCAATCCGTGCATGCACGCACGCACATGTACATACATATATGTACGTAGGACGCATACACCCAACGAAGGATAAAGATTCCCTACTCAGCTGCTAAAACTGACTAGTGCTTGAGGCTAGCAAATCTTGAGCTTTATTTGGTTACCCAGTCTTTTAGTCGGGATGTAGTTCCGACATAAGCCGACTATTTGTTTAACTACTTATGGTTCCGTGAGTACCAAGCTCTCATCCTGAAAGCAGATTAAAGTCTGCTGCTGCGCCAAGATGCCGGAGCTGCCACTGAAGCCTGCCAACAGCAAATCGGCTTCATAGAAGAGAAAAGCTGTGGAGCTTGACGGTTCTAATCACACCGCAATCGCAATCTACTTGGAGCACAATGCCTCCACAGGTTTAAGGCTCAGGCTCACGTTATGTTTCTAGAACGAAGCGTTGTGTGGGTGCACGTTGGCATTCAGGACTGGCGTGTGCTTCAACCCGCCGAGTCTTCGGGAACTCGAGGGTTTAGGGTTCTGGGGAGCCCTTGGTAACTAGGCTTCCTTGCAGGTTCCTCGATGCAACAGTGACGTACAACCTCGGGGCCCAAGAAGATCGCCTAGGCTTTACAAGAGCGACAACGGTGGGTCGGAAATTTGGCAAAGGTCGATGTACCCTTGTGCTGTATACTTTGGCGTTACTGTGCCTGCATAAGCAGCGCTTTGAAAGGATAACTAGAACGTGGGGTTCAGTTTTTCGGGGGGGGACGCTCACGAAAAGCCTCCTGCTGCCAAACGCCAACACCTTTGCTGAAATCTCGATCGTGTTGTAGTGTCTTCTTCGGCTCAACCCTAAACCCTAAACCATCAAACAGCCCTAGCATCCCGTGTTGCCTTTACCTGAGGCAGCTGTCAATCAAACCCTACAGGCAAGGAGCAGATTGTGATGGAAGCCACAAAGGAGGTTCCCTTACCAAATCCTGAAATCCCATAGCAAAGCCTGTTATAGCCTTTGCAGCCCATTGGACTTGTATTGAACCTGGTACACCCTAAACCCCAAACCCAGAACCCTTAAACCCTAACCCCAAACCAACCAACCAAACCCCAAACCAAAAATAAACCTATTGCCAAGCCGCAGGTCGGGATTCTGCATGTTTGCTGCCGTCAGCCTTATCCTTAGCGCCCCTTTCAACCAAAATAGAAATCATAGTTTACAAATACCCTTAAGTTACCCTTAAGTTAGACTAGTAGAAAAATGACACATAATTCCTAAGAGCAGTAAAGTCTCATGGCATTGAAGTTGTCAAGGATGCCCCCTGGGTCGATGCGCCTCGGGTTTTGTTTCAGAGTCATGGCTCAGAGCTTTGGGCTCAGGATGCAGAGTTCAGGCTTTAGGGTTTAGGCTTGAGGGTTTATAAATATGTTTAGGCATATATATATATATATATACATATGTATATATATATATATATATGTATATATAGACAGGGTTTGGGGTTTCGGGTTGAGGGTTCAGGGTTTTTAGGCTTAGGGTTTAGAGAGAACTCCTAGACCCTACAAGGGTCTTAGAGATCAGGCTCGCGGAGGTTTTTTTTTGATTTCGGGCTGTGGGCCATGGGCCTCGAAATTGCGGGAAGGTTTTTGGGACGGCGTGCGGTGGCCGTTGATGATCATTGGAATAGGATTTTGGGCCCATGGTACTCTGCTAAACATCAAGACCTGGAATGAAGTCCTGGGCTCGAAACCGAAAAAGCAACCAGGAGGCTTCTGAACTAATTTTTGCTGCAATATGGAAGAATATAGGGACCTGAATATTTTGAGTAGGGTTTGGGGCCCCATTATACGACAGTTATAAGAGGGAACCCCCACAAAAACATTAGTAATTATTTAGGCCCCTATATTATGAAGTTGCTTGTAGAACGATAACAACACATGACCCTAGACCCGAATAACTCCTCCCAGTAAGGCATTGCAAACCCGACAAGCTTGATATCAAAGCCGCTTCAACCGCATCCTTTGAAACGGACATGGGCAAGCCTTTGAACCTGCGAACGCACACATAACCCTGAATTTTTACCATCAGCCGGGTGGCTGAACATACATGCCTGGCTGCGCAAGTTGGCATGGCATGAGGTTTAGGTTTAGGGTTTAGTTTAGTGTGACCATACTTGCCAGGTTCAGGGTTGTCCGTTTCTTTAGCAGACAAATTGCATGATCACCAACAACATCCGAAACCCGAAACCGCAAAATCTCGAAGCCCACACGTCAAAAAGGCTTAACACGCACCTGCCTTCATTAATCCGGCATACTCTGTCTTCTGGATCGAGCCCTGGACGCCTTACTCTGAAGCCTTAAAACGAAGAAGGTTTCTGCTATGCTCGGGTTCAGGGCGTCGGGCTGTGTGTCTGTTGTGCCTGGAACTGCATTGTATGTTATGCATCCCACAATAGGCCCTAAACCCGAAACCCTGTGTTCCCGGTCGGGCACAAGAAGTGGCCAAAAGCTTACCCTTCAGTTCCTTGCCGCAAACCCCCGTGCAGAGTCTAAGGTGGTTAATGTAATTACTCCCTCGGCCTCAACTCTGGTGTGTAATGTAGGGGCCTCTATAATTACTGTAGGCTGTGATGGGAGCTCTATCTTACGTGAGGAACCCCCAGGGAATAAGATTCGTCATCATTCAGGCTTCTATCCTATGACATTTCGCGGCAGCCAAGCCCGGCAGCGCGGAGGACTTCCAGAGTACCATGAGTTTAACTGACCTTGACTTATCCCTCAATCGAGCTCTATTTGGTTCTTCTTAACTGCGACATGGAACGACACGCGACTACATGTCCTGCACACACACAGAGTTATTGCACAGGAACAGGGGTGTGTCCATACATAACTGTAAATCTACAGATGCATACATAGGTATTTACTCCAAACATACGCATGTGCATGTCTCGGTGTCTGTATGCGCGTGCGTGCGAGTAAATGACAAGGCAATAAAACTATGTCAACAGAAGCGCAGGAATGTCAGCAAAGCGGAAGGTATCAAGACGTTCATGAAAACAGTTCTGGTAAGAAGGATTGAGGATTACTTACAGCGGTGCGCGAACCCTGCTAAACCCTACATGGTTCTGGCTGTTGTAGCTTAGGAACAGATTTGAAGTTACCACCGAAAGAGTCGGCAGCATATCATGTATCGCATACTTGCAATATATAAAGAAACCTAAACTAAGGGAAGAAATAAAATTCCCCATGGCTCCTTGTTATACTTGAGCTATACTGTATACGGTAACATCATCATTATCGAACTAGGTTTCAAAAAAAAAACCTTCCAGGCAAAGCCCCCAATCCGGTCCTGGAACGTGGCGTTTCCCCCCGACATGCCAGGCGATGGTCTTCAAGCTGAAGCCCCACCTTGCATGCACGGTTCAGGCTTTGGGGTTCCGAGGTTAGAGGTTTCGGGTTGAAGGCTTTGGGTTTAGGGTTTGATCGTGTGGGCTTTGGAACGACTTTGGTAAATGGTTTGGGTTTGCCTGGTAGGCAACCTTAAACGCTAATCCTTGAACGATTTTGGTAAATGGTTTGGGTTTGCCGGGTAGGCAGCCTTGAACGCTAATCCTTGAATTCTGCTGTGTTTCGCTAATCCACTACGGCAGTTTTGGGGATGTAGGTCTTCAATGGAAATGACTCGTAAAATCTGCAGACCAATTCTTTGAGAGTTCACTTTCTATGTTTCGGGGAGCATCAGCGCTCCGGGCTTCAAGCTTTCTGCAGGGAATCCTGTTTCGGGATCAAGTCAACGGGCTACACAGGTTCACATCTAATTCCGTTTCTAGGATGGTCTAAACATGACTAGGATGTATCACAGCAACAGTAAAGAATACATAACCGTGTGTAACGTAATTGTGTGTTGTCTGCATCATGAACTTTGAGGAAAATCCACAGAGAAGAGAGTATGCCTTCAAGTTTTGGCACCACAAAATTGTCATATACTAATATAACACACATGTTCCCATGAGCTACCCACACCTACCAAGTAAGCAGTTTCGATGCCCGCCCAAAGACGCGGATTCCTCAAAGTTACAACGCAGTAATCTCTCAGGGCAAACCTGGTGGTGGTATCACCCCGAAAAGGACTTGGAATACGTATTTCAGAAGCGTCCTGATGCCTTATACAACACCCTGATACCCCGTAAACCCTACAAGCCCAGAACCAGAAACGCCCCAAACTCTGTAACCAAAAAATGCGCAGAAACCTAAACCTTGCATCTTAAATCCTGAGCACCATAGTGGAAGATCCCTTCCGATCTTCCTGAAATCGAGCAGCGGTTCCAGAGGGTTCTTCATGGCGTCCCGGCACCTCGCACTGTCGATGCGTGATTGAGGGCTCTGGGTATAGGATTCAGGGTTCAGTCTTGACAGTTTGGGGTGTAGGGGGTACTGAGTGGTGTAGACCCTAAACCTCGGAGGGTTTAATCATACTGAAGACGTCTCGTGTGAGCGTGCTTTGGAACCGGTTTTCTTGGGAATGTGTTCCCAAGGACCTGTGAAGCCTCGAACCGGGATCCAGCTCAAAATTTTCTAGATCCTAAAAAGGATTCATGACCTAGGGGTGGGGTTTAGGTTGAGTGCTGTAGGATCTTAGGGTCCGTGGTTTCGATTTTGGGGTTTGGGGTTTCGGGAAACTCAATCAAAGACCTGCGCAAGACCCTCAGCATCTGAGCCGTCGGCAGACACACCTGGGATGTGAGGTCATACGTTGGGTCGCTTCGATTTGGGTTTAAGTTTAGGGTTCGGACTTCGGGGGTTTCGGGGTTTACGGTTTAAGGCTTAACGGTTTAGGGTTTAGGTTCAGGGGTTGATCAAGTTTGCATGTACCTAGCTTTCCATGTAGACAGTTGCTTGGAAAGACGGGTAGCTGATATGAAGCCAGAGAAGCTGCGAGGAGAGAGGTGCTGTGAGGGGACCACACGAGAACGAACGCACAACATTAAATTTGTGGATGCCCAAATCATACCCTAAGCCAGAAACCTCAAGGCCCTCAACGATGAACTGTTACCTGAACCAGCCGTAACCCGTTCATACACAAAACACCCGTTCTGACTCTTAACGCACTTCGCTTAGAAAGTCAACAGATGCCTTGCACCCCGAATCGCAAGACGTAAACTCCGGAAGTTAAATCAGAAGCTCCAGAATTTAGGGGTCTGATGGGGTCGAGGTCTTAATGTACTACGGTTTGATAAGTTTAAGTCTCTAAAGTCTATCTCCAGGCTCTTGTGGTATAAGGATGTATAAGTGCTATGATTCGACCTTGTGTAGAAAGTGCCAGACAGCGCGAGACCCGTTGCCAGAGTTATAACCGCACATCACATCAAAGTACGACTCAACCTGTGGGAGTACTGGCCTCTCTGGGCAGGTCTATTTATACCATACCGTGGATGGTGTAAATCCTGCATTACCTTAGTGACTCCCCTAGACCATGGGAATTATGGTATCTTCCTGATTATGGGTAATGCAGGATGTCTATCGTCAACCGTACAAGCCTGAAGCCTCAACCCCTAAGGTCGTCTCAAAAAGGACCTACTCTGGAGCCTCTGGGTATGCCCCAGAAGTAGAACCCCGGAAACTGCGGTCCGGACTTGAAAAACCGTCAGACTTTTGCCGTGAAAGCTTGAAGAATCTGGAATACACATGGGAAGTTGTCAAGACTAAGGTCCCTTTTTGGGTACCCTCAATAATCTAGGTGCCGTCTTTGAATAGGGGCCCAAAAAAGGGACCATGATTTTGACCTAAACCCTAAACCCTAAACCCTAAGCCCTAAACCCTAAACCCTAAGCCCTAAACCCTAAACCCTAAACCCTAAACCATATGCCTAGCTTTGCACCGCCAAACTTTAGCCCCTGGGCCTGACCCCTCAAACTGAAATGCTGAACTTCAACGAGGCCCTACCACTATGGGCTATTAGACCTTAAGGGTACCTTAATCTACCCTTAATAGGGTCCTAATAGGGATCTTTAGGGTCTAATAGCCCATAGTGGTAATTGTCGGGTATCATGGGGAACTAAAGGTTAACCTTTTTGGTTATACAGGGGTTATATAGGGGATTATACTACCCAAAAAATGGTTAAAGGTTACCTACTCTACTACTAGGTCATATCCTAAACTCAAAGCGAGAAACCCTCCACCTTGAACCCCAAAGCTCTGAACCGAAAACCTGAAACCCTAAGCCACCAGCCCTCAAGTCCAAACGTCACACTACATCAGCCGTGCGACGTCGACGAGTCGCCTGAGGTGCTTTTGTAGGCGGAACGTTGAGGATTCATATGAAACGGTGTGTAGAAGCTTGTGCTTTTGCGTGTGCTAGGGTTTTAGGATTTTGACTAAGGTTTCAGGTGTCGAATTCGAGATGTAAGGTCCCTGCATTTCGGATTCAGGGGTTCGGGCCCAAGCCTTTTGTGGACAACCGTCCTTTCGAAAGAGCGGGACTTGGGTTCCATCTCATGTAGTCTGGTGAAGATTACGAATGACAGCTGAGGGCTGACGGGTTTAATCCACGGTTTTACGCTTGAGCATTCCTGACATACAGCTAGAAACGTCTATAGTGTCTACAGTAAAGGGAACTCCGGAAAGTTGGAATATGGATTAATGGAAGGACCCCATAATTTACCTTAAAGGGGTTACGATAATGATATTCCAACTTTCTGGCTTCTACTGTAAGGCTAAGGGCAGTTCGAGGTTCACGGCAAGGCACTGCTTGAAGGACAAAGGGAGTCAGCAGGCGAGTTATAACTACCCCATTGGGGCTACAAGTAGCTGTAATGCAACTACACGTACCTTCCAACCCGAGTTACCAGGTCCAATGATCATTTAAGTACAAACCCTAAACCCTGAAACAATCGAGCCCTAAAGAACCCCTCAAGAGCCCCAAACCCTAAATCCACTGTAGAAGCCTCCTGGGTCCCTTTTCTAAGAGCCTTGTTAGCTAGGAAGCTTCCTTTGAGGGTTCGAGAGGGTTTAGGGATTAGGGTATTTATAAGTGGGGTTGCAATTAGGGTAACTATACTTAAAAACCATATTAGGGGACTTGCAACCCCAAGCCCCTTTTTCGGGAGGGTTTGGGAGCTTTGGGAGTTGCCGGCTGTAGGCCTCCTCGGCCTCGGCGCGTCGAAACGGCCAGCTTGGTTCAGGGTTTAGGGCTAAGGGGTTTAGGGTTTAGGGTTTAGGGTTTAGGGATCCGAAACCCTACCGTTTTAAGGGTTCTACCCTCTAATTAAGGGGTCATAACCTACTATTTTGTAGGGTTTGGAGTCACAGGAAGGGGTTTAGGGGTCTAGAGCTTTATAGCGTTTAGGACTGAGGGTTTAAGGTTCAGGGTTTAGGGCTTTAGTACAAGAGCTTGACGTTTTACGGTTTAAGGCTTTTGCAACTGGGGTTTAGAGTGCAGGGTTTAGGGTTTTAGTAGCTGGATTTGGGGTTCAGGGCTTAGGGCTCTAGTACCCGGGGTTTGTATGTCCACATATGTATAACAATATATATATATATATATATATACATATATATATATACATATATATATATATATACATATATATATATATATATATAGGTGTGTATATATTTCTCTACATAAATAGATACATGTATGAATACGCATACTTCTTGAAACACATGCGTATACTGATCAGATACCTGGGTCGGTACATCCTGTGAAGCCAAGTTTCAGCCGTCGGTTTGGCGGAGGATCCTCATCAGTGTCGTCGTCGCTGTCCGGTGACCTTCAGGCTTGCAGGTTTACAGCGCTGAGTTCAAGATCGGCTGTTGCGGCCTACGGCTTAGGGGGGCTGGGGGGGAACAAAGGCTTTGGGTGGGTCGTCCCAACCTTGGATTCGAAACCCGAAATTAAAATGGCAAAACGTTAACTAAGTTCAGAATTTGCCATTAACTGAGCTGTCACATGTCAGTCATACAAAGTCGCGGGAGCGAGCTCACAACCAGCACGAAATTCAGAACCCTTGAGCGCCAGACCCGAATCCCTTCAACCCGAAGCGTTAGATCCTCGAGGCCCCAAGATCTAAACCTACAAAACCGAGTTGAGTCTACCCAGAGGCCCCAAAGTAGTTCTTTTTCGGGATTACCTTCTACGATTTTTATATGAGCCCCCAAAAGGAACTACTTTGGGGTCTTAGGTTATAATTACGGTAACTTTACTTATAATTACTTATAACCCTAATTAAGGTACTTATAACCCTACTTACTAAGTCCCATGATCCTCCAAGTACACAGCCGAGCGACACTTGCTGCCGCCCTGGTGTGGCGACTTGGCCTCGAGAAAGTCAAGGACACAAAGAGTCTACTTGGAGAGGCCTCTGCTATAGTGATACGGTTGATGATATAAATCCCGCATTACCCATAGTAAGGAATATACTATAATTCCCATTGTTTAGGGTCCTTAAGGTAATGCAGGATTTATATCGTCCGCCGCATGCCTTGTTATAGCTGTTGAGTCCCATGGCGCTTTAGGTAGCATGCAGGGTGGTTCGGGACATGTGATGTGGGCCATGGCTCTCTGGATACGTCAAGCGAAACCAGTGTAAAGGGCGCAACTGAGCAAATGACGATATGCCTACTTGTATATGCGTGTTCGTTTCGTCCCATGCCTCATTAAGAGTTTTCCACCTGACGAATGGCTGGCCATGTACTCAGGCACACATGTTTCTTATTATCTTTGGTTAGGCCGCCGCTGCTGCTGCTGCTCCTGCTCCTGCTCCTGCTCCTGCTGCTGCTGCTGCTACTACTACTACTACTACTACGACTATTGATGATAATACTGCTAAAACACATACAACTACTAATACTAGAAATACTACGAATACTAATACCAACGCTAATCCCAATCCTCATCCTCATCCTAGATCTCATGTTAATACAACTAGTACAAATATACGAAAATACTAATCAGTGACACCAATAATAAGAATAGTATGACTAACCTCATGATACAAACAATACAAATAGTCATTCTGGCCCTAGTGATAAAATAGCAACCATAACAATACCAATAGCAGTAGTACGTGCCAATCAATGCAATAATGATTACACTGATGGTAATGACAATGATGATAGTACTAGCAACTATAACAATGGTACTAACATTGCTGCTATTGATCTAATGTAGGAACCTGATCGAGAAACCTTGGGCTTGTATTAGGGCCCTTTATATGAAACCCTACTATTTTAGGGTTATAGTCCCAGGGATTCTTAATCAGTTACCTACGTTAAGCACTACAGATTCTGGATTTTCACACGCAGTCTTCGTGAAGCCAAGGTGCCGGATTGCGACCTGGAGCCACCGGAGCGGCGAAGTGGGAGCTAACTTTTCAGGGTTGAAGGTATAGGCTTTAGGGTTTAGCGGGCTTTGGGGCTTCAGGGGTTTAGGAATGAGGGTTTAGCGTTTAGGGCTTAGGGTTAGGGTTTAGGGTTTACAGGGTTCCCTGAGGATGTATAGAGTATAGACGTACAGGAATTAGGGCTTGGGATTGGGGATTGCGGCTTAGGAGTCAGAATTTGGGGACTAAAGAAGAGATTGGATCTCAGGGTTTACCCAGAGGCCCCAAAGTAGTTCCTTTTTGGGATACCCTTATAGGATTCTATATATGAACCCCAAAAAGGAACTACTTTGGGGCCTTAGGGTAATTTGAGGGGGTATTCAGGGCTTTGCGGATGTGGGTTTCGGACTTGGGGTTACTGGCTTTCACGTTCAAGGTTTTGGTGGTACTGAGAACTCCCGAGTGTCTTAAGTACGGCTTGTTCATGGGCTTAGGCAAGCTCTTCTACAGGTTGTGCATTTTGTAACTATATAACAAGAAAGACTACAAATCACAGGAGGCATACCGAAAAACCTTGCAGAGCAGCCCTACATGGCGACACCCCCTCTTCACCGAAGTTGGGCTGATGCAACATGGCTCCACTCACCCTAAACCCTATAAACCCTAAACCCCTAAACCCTAAACCCTGATTCACAGTGTCTTGGCCCGATCTGCGCAGAAGACGACTGGGCCCTGAAGATGCCTGCGGTTGATGATATAAATCCTGCATTACCCATAATAAGGAATATACCATGATTCCCATAGTTTAGGGTCCTTAAGGTAATGCAGGATTTGTATCATCAACCGTAGTTCATGGTTGGGATAGGATTAAAGATTCAAGCTGTTATTCCTTATTGGGTTTAAGTACCCGAAAAAAGGGATAGGATTAAACAATTCGATTCTTTAATTCCTTATTGGATTTAAGTACCCATAAAGATGCAAAATGTTACCCAACTATTAACTATGACAAAGATGCAGTCGAAACCCCAGTTCAATTGACACCGCTTGGGGCTTAGCACAGGGTTGAGGTGCTGCCCCCTAAACCTTAACCCTAGACCATAAACCCTATAACCCTAAACCCCTAAACGCTAAACCCTATAACCCTAAACCCCTAAACCCCTAAAACCCTAAACCCTGAAAACCCACAAACGGCCCGTTTTATCCTGACAAAAGAAAACCCCTGGCTCTTGCCGAGATGCTCCGATTGAAGCTGCTGCCGCTGGCCCGGCATGGGAGCCATACCTCTACAGTTTAGGGTTCATTTAGGGTTTAGGGTTATTGATTTTTGGTTTTAGGGTTTAGGGCTTAGGGTTATTATTTTTTTGCTTTAGGGTTAAGGGCTTAGGGATACTATTTTCTTGTTTTAGAGTTTAAGGGCTTAGGGTTATTTTTTCTGGTTTAGGGCTTAGGGCTGATATTTTTTTGTTTTAGGGCTTAAGGATAAGGGTTTAGGGTTAAGGGTTTTTTGGGTTTGGGGTTCAGGGTTCTTAAGGGGTTTAGGGTTTAGGATTTAGGGTGTAGGCTTTAGGGGTGTATGGGATGAGGCTTTAAGATGTAAGGAAGGCTTTAGGGTAAATAGGGGCTTCTTCCCGAAGATCTCTCAGCGGTCTCAGGTGTAGGGAAAATAGCTGCAGCTGCAGGTTGGTTTCTTGCATTCATGGTTCCCTTAAGGGTCCCTTTCAGGGCTCCTTTAAGGAGTCCATCCCGGGCTCCTCTTTGGGGTTGTCTAGGGGCTTCCGAAGGTTTTTTGCAAGGGGGTTGGGGCTTAGGATAGCTCGGTTTTCCAGGGTTTCCGAAGCCGAAAGCCCTACACCCAAAAACATTACACCCTAACCCACAAAGCCTCGGCCTCAGCCTTGCCTTTTGACAACCTGACTCAATTAGGGCCCCTAATCGAAACCATATCGTAATCGAAAGAAACCATATCCTAGATTAGGGTCCCTCATCGAATCCATATTTGGATGGTTGTCAAAATTATGGTCCCTTTTTGGGTCCCTGCTACAGTACGGCACCTATTATGGTACCCAGAAAGGGGCCCTAATTTTTGGAAACTCCCATATCGTGCTCTTCTCGAAACCAATCGATCCGGCCCGAAAGCTCTCTTGGAAGCAGAGATGACCCGAAACTCTCCCCAAACTCCCGTACCCGAGGGTGAAAGGAGGGACCCCAAATAAGGACCCCTAGGCATATTCCCTTAATATAGCTATTATATCCCCATTATATAGCCCAAAATAGGGTAGGGGTCCCCTTTGAGGCTCCCTCCTTTTCCCCTTTGACCGTAAGCACAACTACCCCTAAGGAAGCCTTAGAAACTTTCAGGAACTACGTATAGGGAACACTCCAGGGAAGCCTTCAGGGGACCTCATGCAATCAGGTTCGGGGTTCTCGTGCGGGCTTCAGGTTTGGGGCTTGGGGCTTGGAGCTTAGGATTAATTTAGGTTTGGGCTCTACCGGGTTTAGCTCACGGTTTAGGGCTCAAGGTATTGGCATAGTTGCCCCGCCCCATCTGGAACAACGCCCTCAAACCACTCATCCACTATGAACCCTGGTGATGCTGCTGGTTCTGGCGCTGGGTGTTTCGCTATGTACTGACGGTGCTGATGAGCTGCCATTGGAGCGATCGTCGCGGGCGGGACCCCAGTTTGCGATATGCGTGACACTCTCCTGGTTCATGGTTGGGACAAGGTCAAAAATCTATTTTTTATTCGTTATTGGGTTTAAGTACCCTTAAAAATGTAAAACTTTGCCCAACTATGACAAAGTCTCGACTCCTTCGCGGCAGTCCCTGCTCCCCAGAGAGTTTCGGACAGAGCCTCGGCTCCGATCGATGGATAATCACAAAAACGGATGGGCTACGACTCTATTCCAACTGTGCCAGACCTTTTAGATACTGGGATCAACCCATCCTCGAAGTCCTGAACACACAAGCTTCGGCCCTGCGCGGCGCCTTTTCCCCCAAAAGCCAGAAACCTTTCACCTTCCAATCTTCCAGTGTCCTCAACCCAAAACGAAGTTCGCCAGTGATATAGGGGCCTTCACAATTAGAATAGGGTTTCGGGGCCCATTATACCATACTTATAATAAGGAACCCCATAACAGTATTGGTATCTATTTCGGGCCCTAAAGCATCACCTTAACAGTTGTAATGCCAGCCTGTTCCTAGTCTTCAAACAAACTCCCCCCAAGAGGTGCAAGGATACCATAGCAAACCTACGGGCCGGATCCTGCCTATTACCCTAAGGCCCAAAGTAGTTCCTTTTGGGGGTTCATATATAGAATCCTATAAGGTAGTCCCAAACAGGAACTACTGTGGGGCCCCTGGGTACCCAAAGCCAACAAAAATAGAAATCGTACAAACCTTTGAACCAGGATCCTTTACACACACCTCGCCAAGACAAGCCAAGATACCTGGCTTTGCAACCGGCCTGAATCATTTAGCAGCTTCAGAAGACGAGGGCGCTGTTTCGAGTTCCCTACGTTTATTTTTAACGCCTTTAACGCTTCAACACGCGTAGAGACGGGAACCTCTGACACAATTGACGGAACACATCGGACCTTCTGCTCAGGCAGGTTCTGGGGCTTCGGGTTTTCAGGGTTTTTGTTCTTGCCCAAGAAGGGAGGATCCATCGAGTTTTGCTTGCGGGACGGTATGGTTCGCTTTAGTATTCTTCTTTTCTCGGAGAGAGAGGGGCATAGGCCCCGAAGTTTCAGGTTTGGGTTCAAAATTTGTGTGACGTTGGGGTCGGTGCTATGGTGTTAAACCTGCTATGAACACCAAGAAAATTGCTTGGCCCGTAAGATTCCGGCTGATGAATTCGGAAATTGTATAAGGGCCTGTCTAGACAAACTTACCGAATGCACAGGAACCTTGGAAAGTACACGACTCACATGAACAAACTTATTAGTACCCTGACAATCATCCCCACAACCTGCCTGCTAACCTCGTATGCTTAGACTACCTACAGGAAAGAAGCGTCCAAGCAAGAGTGCTGCACAGCTTCGGAGGCTGCTGACACGGCTGCTGAAAAGGCTGCGCCGCTGATGCGGAGCTCCCTAACGTCGCAAAAAAAGGAGCATTGAACATGTAAGCAGGTTCACAATTTAGAGCCAGGGTTCAAGACCGAGGGGATGTGAAGGCTGGGGCGGAATACCGTGTGCTACCATCAATGGAGGGACCTCTGGGGAAAAGACCACAAGATGCGTGTAAGAAATTGGTGGTTTAACATTGCTACCTTTTGCGCTTGTGCATTTCGAGCAACAAAGATCCGAAACCTGCCCAATGGCCCGAAACCTGCCTGCCCAATCGAGACGTGCAGCAAATGCTTGACAAACCTACAATGAACCCGCATCAAGGACAAGCTTTGCCCGAGTCATCATTCGTCCGTACAGCGTGGAATCCTGAGGCCCAATTGGGGCAAACAGATCCGCGGTGGCCTAGTTGCGCACACCTCGGTGACACCAGTTGGTGTGGACAGGCAAGGCTGTAATCAGGAGAGGTGCATGCAAGGTTCATTCGTACTATAGGGGCCTTAATAATTGATTAGAATAGGGGTTTGGGGCCCATTATACTGTAATTTTAACAAGGAGCCCTCAGAATAGTATTGTTAATTATCTATAGGCCCCTATACTACACAAAACGTGGTCCAACAAAAGCCGACCTTCGCTCAAAATACTCACAGCCTACGAACCGATTTGGATAATGTAGGAACCTGATTAAGAAACCTTGGGCCTTGATTAAGCTATATGAATCCTACTACTATTTTGGGGTTATAGGCCCAGGTTTTCTTAATCAGGTTCCTACATTAACCAAGTTGAAGTAAGTCGACCTTCAGCCCGGAAGCCCAAACAACCCTGTCCAAGGGCAGCGTGGTGATAAAACCACGGATATTACTATTACTATAACTTTTACTATATTATTGCTATCAGCATGGAACAGAGGTACATGAATTGAAGGGTTCACTCGTAGACAAGAAGGCGTCCGGCTCCGATGTATTTCGACCGTTTTGAATAAATCGAGGCTCACACTTCCTGTAGACCGTAAACCGTGCTGCGGCTTCTACCGAATTCCGGCAGAGGATCGGTCTGCGTACCTCTCTCACATCTCCATGAGACCAAAACCAGCAAGATAATTAACTCCAATGCCTAATACCCGAGAACAGGATCTGATTCAGGGTTGACATGGGTTAACAACCGTAAGCAGTTGATGCCAAGCCACGGGTGCTGTTGCTGATACGGCGGCTGCGCAGTGGGCGGTTGCTGATGCGACGGCTGAGCATTTGGATCAGCGCCTGTGTCTCATTAGACAAAGAAATCTTCCTGCCCGGGTGGGAACTTGGCATTGGTGCTAAGGCTAGCCGTCCGAAAACTGCAACAGAAACCAACTCTGCCAATATCCCTGGCCTGGCTGCGCGCACCTCAGAGGCGGGTATTCCTATAGTTTGGTCTACACAGCTTAGCCACAACAGCTCTTGAAACTCCGAAGAGGCATGCGACTAGCATCTCAATCAAGAGCTCTCGATACGCATGCGGCTTCTGATCACTTGCAAACACTTGTAGTTAACGTATGCATACGCCTACACAAGCTATCATCCGCGATCGACCGCTTACCCCAGTGAACCGGGCCGCACATTTCCGACGTCAAGAACCGTCACAACAGGAATCATGCTTATTACCAGCACTCAAAACACCGCAAAATTCGCAACGCCCAGTTAGCATGAAAAGTGCAAACCTGCACTTGCTGCACAGCAACGGCTGCTGCTGAAACGGCTGCTGGGCAGCTGGTGGCTGCGAATACGGCTGCTGGGCATTTGGACCAGCGCCTGTCTCATCAAGCAAGATGTATGATTGATTGGTTGGAACTTACATTTGTTCCAAGGCTAGCCGTCCGAAAACTGCTTGAGCAAACAACTCTCCCAATACCGCTGGCCTGGCTGCGCGCACCTCAATTGCCGGGATTCCTGTTGTTCTATACAGCTTAGCCTCAACAGCTCTTGTATCTCCGGAGAGGCATGCGTCTAGAGCTCCCGATACGCATGGTGCTTCAGATCACTTGTCGCTGACATGTGCATAGGCCTACACAATCTATCATCCATGATCGACCGTTTGCCCGCGAAAATCGGGCTGCACATTTCCAACGTGAAAAACCGTCGATAACCCTTGCTGCCGACATATCGGAATCTGATTGCAGGCACGGGGCCGGGAATACTGACAGCTACATGTACATACATGAGGTATGATACTTACTACGAGCCCTCTAAACAGCAACTCTCTGTTAGCATTTAAGCGTGCAAACCCGCACTTGCTGCACAGCAACGGCTGTTGCTGAAACGGCTGCTGGGCAGTTGGTGGCTGCGAATACGGCTGCTGGGCATTTGGACCAGCGCCTGTCTCATCAAGCAAGATATGTGATTGATTGGTTGGAACTTACATTTGTTCCAAGAAACGCCAACCTTAAACTGCAACAGCAAACAACTCTCCCAATACCGCTGGCCTGGATGCGCGCACCTCAATTGCCGGGATTCCGATAGCTTGATCTATACAGCCTAGCCACAAGGCAGGCGACTGACATCTCACTCAAGAGCTCTCGATGCGCACTTGTAGCTAACATATGCATACTCCTACACAGGCTATCATTATACCCCGAGAACCGGACTGCAAATTTCCAAGGCGGAAAACCGTCGATAACCCTTGCTGCCGACATATCGGAGCCGGTTTGCAGGCAAGAGACTGGAAATACAGACCGCCACAAACTCACGAATCAACAAACATATTTCTACAAGGACTCCACGCCCAGTTAGCATTGAACTTGCAAACCTGCACTTGCTGCACAGCAACGGCTGCTGCTGAAACGGCTGCTGGGCAGTTGGTGGCTGCGAGTACGGCTGCTGGGCATTTGGACCAGCGCCTGTCTCATCAGGCAATAAACGGCTCTGCTTGGCTGGAACTTGCATTGGTTCCACGTTCCAAGAAACGCCAACCTCAAACTGCAACAGCAAACAACTGTCTCCCAACGCCGCCGGCCTGGCTGCGCGCACCTCAACAGCGGGGATTCCTACAAAGCTTGGTATGTGCAGCTTAGCCTCAACAGCTCTTGCAACTCCGGAGAGGAAAGGCATGCGACTGGCATCTCAATCAAGATCAATCGATACGCAAGCGGCTTCTGATCACTTGCAACCAATTGTAGCTAACGGATGCAGATGCCTACAGTGGTTGTGCATGATCAAGCGCAATGGACTGTGAGGACCGGCCGTACCGTTCCAATGTCGAAAACCATCGATTAGCTGGAAAACGACTTAGGGAGCCCTTAACCCGGAATAACATGAGGGATGCCGAACTCTGACACTCGCCATTCCCTCTCAATCCTTGCACACCCGCATTTGCTGCACGGCAGCGGCTGCTGCTGCATCGGCTGCGGCTGTTGGGCAGTTGCTGGCTGCGAGTACGGCTGCTGTGCATTTGGAGCGCCTCTCATGAGGCACAAATATCATCATATGTCCACCCTAGGGCGCCAGTTACCTGAATAGTGGGCTACTGGGTTACATAGTACATAGGTTTTCGGGTTTAGGTAAACCCTAAACCCTAAAGCTAAAGAACTTCCTGTTCAGGCAACTGGAGCGGCCGGGGGTAGGGGAGATAGCTTGCAATAGCTCATGATTAGGTGCGTTTTCGGAACTTGGCCTTACCCATACGCCCCAAAGTAGTTCTGTTTTGGGGTTCATATATAGAATCCTATAAGGTAGTCCCAAAAAGGAACTACTTTGGGGCCTATGGGTACCTCCCAAAGCGGCAAAAGCGCAATTCGCACCAGTGGTGGCCCTGCCTGGCTGCGCAGACCTCAGCGTGCACCAGTTGTTTCCAGACGGCCGTTGTCTTAAACGCTGGCACTGCCTGAAAAAATGGTACAGAAAGATACAATGGTTGAATAACGACAGGGATGTAGCAATCCACAAGACGTACAACCAATGAGAAACGAAGCTGATGAAGGCCAGAGAATGAACAATGGTGATGGATGTGAAGACACAAGGACAATCCACCAGCATGTTCAGAATGAAATAACAACCCAATGAATCGTGGCAATAAGGACACCTAAATAAGGTACCCCTAATTTTCGGAAGCTCCCAGATCTGAACCTGCAAAACCAGAGGACCCAAAGAAGTTCCTTTTTGGGATTACCTTATAGGATTCTATATATGAACAACAAAAAGGAACTACTTTGGGGCCTTAGGGTAAACCCTAAACCCTGAACCCTGCAGACGCGCAAGGTCCCCCAAACCCTAAACACTCAGGCCTTACAAACCTAAACCGTTTAGGTTTATAAGGCCTCAGTGTTTAACCGAATCCGGGCAGGAAACCGTAATCCCGGCAACTCCCGAACCCTGCTCAAAAGCCTGGCCTCAGCAATGCCTTCCTGCAATGTCGGCTTAGAGTTTGGATGGTTTAGTTATTAGGGTGTAGAGTTTAGGGTTTAAGGTTTTATAGAGCTGCTGTCTTGTAAAAGCTTTTTCAGGATTTAACACCTCAGGATGGAGGGTTTTGACACATCGTCTACATGCGAGAAGTCAAAGGACTCTTGCTGTCGACAAAGGACCAAGAGGGTACATATACACTACTATTATGGAATTAAGTCCTCAAAACCATTACAGGGATGGTCCTTTAGGACCCAACTCCATAATGGCAGCGTGTAAGGACCCTTTGGGGGAGTTTAATTGGAAACAGCCTGAAAACAAACAAGGGATCCGGAACACATGCAGTACCTGTAGAAATACCAGGAACCCGAGCATAGGGACCACCAGTTTTCGGACCTATAGTCCCATTGAACGGAACATAGGGGGCTCAATCACTTACCCAAACTATTTTGAAGGTTCCTGAGTATAGTTATAGTATATAATGGGCCCCACAACCCTATCCGAATTAATAATATTATTGGCTGTAGAGCGGCGGCTGTTGTGGATACAGCTGCTGTGCAGCTGCCGGTGGTGGACTCGACTGGAAACCATTCGGAACGGTGCCTGGTTGGGGGTGCAGGGTTTAGGGTGCAGGCCACGGCAGACATGGCAGGCGACTGAATGCTGGTGTTGCCATGCTGATGCCAAAGTACAGACTATGAATATGAAGGCATAGCCGGACTCTTCGCACTGTAGGGTTTTACAAGCTGCATACACTTTACGTTCGGAGTTTTATATGCTATGACGTATGCTTTGGGGTTGAAGGGTTTAAGGGGCTTGGGCTTAGGAACCTTAAACCCTGTAAGTTTAGGATTTAGGGGTTCGCCGCGGTCGCAACTCCGAACAAGCTGATGCCCTGCTTGTTGAGTACTCTGGCGTCGCTCTTCCATCTATCATACCTAAGAACCGTTCAAGATAGCTCAAGCTTACCTCTTCACCTGCGAAGAAGTTTCCCAGAAACTAGAAACAACAACCCCAAAGCATGCCAGGCTGCCTGGTTGAGCATACCTCAGTTTCTTCGAGTGATTTAAGATTTGAGTGGCTTGATTTCGTTTGGGTTGAAGGATTTCCGATTTGGGTGGTGTGGTTGTTATATAGATTGAGCAATGAGCAACAATTGAATTAGGGTTGAGGCTGTCAGCTGTGTCTGCCTGGTGGAATTGCCTGTATCAAGGCTGGTTTGGGCTCGGCTCAGGTGCTTTGGGGAAGTGACAGAGCCCTGAACAACTTCAATCAGCATTAAGGTTAAGGATGTTGGACTCACTGCAGGGCTGCCCAGTTACCTGCATAGTTTGTTGCTGCTCCATAAACAACCCCAATGGAACAACATGGAATACGTAACTCGATGTGGCTGGGCTTCGGGAGTTTCAGAACTTCAATGAACCCGGGTCTGATAAAGGTTTTGAACTAATCGGGTCATTCCTAGACGGACCCCTAAACCCTCCGCCCTGAAACCTCAAGCCTAAAGCCTATCAGCCATAAAGCTCTAACGGATAGACTTGCTTCTGCACAGCAGCTGCTGTTGACAGGGCTGTTGAGCAGCGGGACCTGTCACATCAACAACATGCTCTGGCATTTTAGAGGTTTGGGCTCCTAGGGTTTAGGGTATTTAATGTCAGCGTGTTTGGGCTGATTAGTGTTTCGAAGCCGTTTACGCGCCCTTTGAGTATATGTGCAAGACGCTGCGTGTGGGTAAACAAGAACAGAGTAACAAAAGGGAGAATGACTTAGAACTACCCATATGTTTACATAAACAAAATTACTTCCAACGCAAAGGTTCACTCAAAGTTCAAGATCGATGGGGTGCTTTCAGATTACAGTAAAGTAAGCTCAGAGCACATACATCGAAGCCCTCAACAAAAAACCGACTGCGGGGCTGGGGGCTGGGGTGTAAAAACCTGGGAGTTTGTTTTTCAATCTGAGAAACGGCAAACCCCAAGCGATCATGCTTTAACACCCTGCTATATGAAATCTATGTCTTTCCTTACGTTTTGCCTGTGCTGTTACTCGTAATTATGTACGTTTTGATTTTTGATTGGTGGCCCTAGGGACCCGGATGCCCAAACGACCACTGTGCCGAAGATCAAGTGTGGCTCAGGACCAATGGCGTCACGTGAACTACATAAACATGTAAACCTAAGGTCTCAAGGGTAGCTGCCTGACACAAAATAAACCCTAAACCCTACACCCTGGCGTAGATCACCACAGAATGATGGAGATACCACGACGACCACCAGGACCAGAATCAGGACCACCACGCCAGCACGACTACCAAGAGACCGCGGGACACTGGCAGACCCCTACGGTTGATGATATAAATCCTGCATTACCCATAATAAGGAATACTTCATTATTCCCATCGTAGGGAGTCCTTAAGGTAATGCAGGATTTGTATCATCAACCGTATGAAAGGATACAGAAGCCAAAACCTTTACAATGTCTCAAGAAGCTGTATAAACCTAATATGAGGCCCGAATAAATTCGGATCGTCTATCGGCAGGACAAGGCCGTCTGGCATCGCAAAGTTGAGTGCTTCTCGACACAACAGCTTGGCCAAAATGTGCCCCCCAATGCTGTCGAGATTCAAGGGCTCGGCCACAATGCGCAATGGTGATATTGATAATTTCTTTTATTCCTAAGGCCACAACCCCCAAAATCTCAGGCTTTAGAACACAGGTCCCTTGGTAATCTCGGCGAGGGATCTCTCAGCCGAGGAGCCAGGCTGCGCGCACCTCGTTTAAATGCTGATCTTTCTGGCTTTGGCACTGTGCCTGTACGGATCTTCCTGGAAGTCGGCACTCGGCCTTTTCTCTGATCTTGCTCGATAACTGCATTCTGCCTTTTCTGAACTTTCTGGATGTTGGCACTGATCTTTCTGGTTTCTTCTGATCTTTCTGGATAATGGCACTCTGCCTTGGCTGATCTTTCTGGATGTTGGCACTGATCTTTTTGGTTTCTTCTGATCTTTCTTGATAATGGCACTCTGCCTTTTGTGATCTATCGTTCTGGAAGTTGGCACTGATCTTTCTGGTTTCTTCTGACCTTTCTGGACAATGGCACTCTGCCCTGGCTGATCTTTCTGGATGTTGGCACTGATCTTTCTGGTTGCTTCTGATCTTTCTGGATAATGGCACTCTGCCCTGGCTGATCTTTCTGGATGTTGGCACTGATATTTCTGGTTTCTTCTGATCTTTCTGGACAATGGCACTCTGCCTTTTCTGATCTATCTTTCTGGATGTTGGCACTGATCTTTCTGGTTTCTTCTGATCTTTCTGGATAATGGCACTCTGCCTTTTCTGATCTATCTTTCTGGATGTTGGCACTGATCTTCCTGGATAATGGCACTCTGCCTTTTCTGATCTACCTTTCTGGATGTTGGCACTGATCTTTCTGGCTTCTTCCGATCTTTCTGGATAATGGCACTCTGCCTTTTCTGATCTATCTTTCTGGATGTTGGCACTGATCTTTCTGGTTTCTTCTGAATTTTCTGGATAATGGCACTCTGCCTTGGCTGATCTTTCTTTCTGGATGTTGGCACTGATCTTTGTGGTTTCTTCTGATCATTCTGGATAATGGCACTCTGCCTGGGCTGATCTTTCTGGATGTTGGCACTGATCTTTCTGGTTTCTTCTGATCTTTCTGGATAATGGCACTCTGCCCTGGCTGATCTTTCTGGATGTTGGCACTGATCTTTCCGGTTTCTTCTGAATTTTCTGGATAATGGCACTCTGCCTTGGCTGATCTTTCTTTCTGGATGTTGGCACTGATCTTTCTGGTTTCTTCTGATCTTTCTGGATAATGGCACTCTGCCTTTTCTGATCTATCTTTCTGGATGTTGGCACTGATCTTTCTGGTTTCTTCTGATCTTTCTGGATAATGGCACTCTGCCCTGGCTGATCTTTCTGGATGTTGGCACTGATCTTTCTGGTTGCTTCTGATCTTTCTGGACAATGGCACTCTGCCTTTTCTGATCTATCTTTCTGGATGTTGGCACTGATCTTTCTGGTTTCTTCTGAATTTTCTGGATAATGGCACTCTGCCTTGGCTGATCTTTCTTTCTGGATGTTGGCACTGATCTTTCTGGTTTCTTCTGATCTTTCTGGATAATGGCACTCTGCCTTTTCTGATCTATCTTTCTGGATGTTGGCACTGATCTTTCTGGTTTCTTCTGATCTTTCTGGATAATGGCACTCTGCCTGGGCTGATCATTCTGGATGTTGGCACTGATCTTTGTGGTTTCTTCTGATCATTCTGGATAATGGCACTCTGCCCTGGCTGATCTTTCTGGATGTTGGCACTGATCTTTCTGGTTTCTTCTGATCTTTCTGGATAATGGCACTCTGCCCTGGCTGATCTTTCTGGATGTTGGCACTGATCTTTCCGGTTTCTTCTGAATTTTCTGGATAATGGCACTCTGCCTTGGCTGATCTTTCTTTCTGGATGTTGGCACTGATCTTTGTGGTTTCTTCTGATCTTTCTGGATAATGGCACTCTGCCTTGGCTGATCATTCTGGATGTTGGCACTGATCTTTCTGGTTTCTTCTGATCTTTCTGGACAATGGCACTCTGCCTTGTCTGATCTATCTTCCTGGATGTTGGCACTGATCTTTCTGGTTTGTTCTGATCATTCTGGATAATGGCACTCTGCCTTTTCTGATCTATCTTTCTGGATGTTGGCACTGATCTTTCTGGTTTCTTCTGATCTTTCTGGACAATGGCACTCTGCCTTTTCTGATCTATCTTTCTGGATGTTGGCACTGATCTTTCTGGTTTCTTCTGAATTTTCTGGATAATGGCACTCTGCCTTGGCTGATCTTTCTTTCTGGATGTTGGCACTGATCTTTCTGGTTTCTTCTGATCTTTCTGGATAATGGCACTCTGCCTTTTCTGATCTATTTTTCTGGATGTTGGCACTGATCTTTCTGGTTTCTTCTGAATTTTCTGGATAATGGCACTCTGCCTTGGCTGATCTTTCTTTCTGGATGTTGGCACTGATCTTTGTGGTTTCTTCTGATCTTTCTGGATAATGGCACTCTGCCTTTTCTGATCTATCTTTCTGGATGTTGGCACTGATCTTTCTGGTTTCTTCTGAATTTTCTGGATAATGGCACTCTGCCCTGGCTGATCTTTCTGGATGTTGGCACTGATCTTTCTGGTTTCTTCTGATCTTTCCGGATAATGGCACTCTGCCTTGTCTGATCTATCTTTCTGGATGTTGGCACTGATCTTTCTGGTTTCTTCTGATCTTTCTGGATAATGGCACTCTGCCCTGGCTGATCTTTCTGGATGTTGGCACTGATCTTTCTGGTTGCTTCTGATCTTTCTGGACAATGGCACTCTGCCCTGGCTGATCTTTCTGGATGTTGGCACTGATCTTTCTGGTTTCTTCTGATCTTTCTGGACAATGGCACTCTGCCTTGTCTGATCTATCTTTCTGGATGTTGGCACTGATCTTTCTGGTTCCTTCTGGTTTTACTGGATAATGGCACTCTGCCTGGGCTGATCTCTCTGGATGTTGGCGCTGATCTTTCTGGTTTCTTCTGATGTTTCTGGACAATGGCACTCTGCCTTATCTGATCTATCTTTCTGGATGTTGGCACTGATCTTTCTGATTTCTTCTGATCTTTCTGGACAATGGCACTCTGCCTTTTCTGATCTATCTTCTGGATGTTGGCACTGATCTTTCTTGTTTCTTCTGATCTTTCTGGATGTTGGCACTCTTTACTGACCTTTCTGGCTTCTTTCTGATCTTTCTCCATAATGGCACTCTGGCTTTTCTGATGTTTCTGGATGTTGGCACTCTGCCTTTGCTGATCTTTCTGGATACTCCTACTCAGCCCGGATTGGTCTTTGCTTTACGGTTCAAGGGTTTGGGCCGGAAATTTAGGCTTCAGGGAGCCTGTCTCAGTCTGGGGATGTCTTTGCTTCAGGGTCCATGTGAGAGTCCAGGTACCTGTGTAGTACATGTAGTACTTAGGCCTCAGAGTGTCTGTTTAGTAGCCCCTCTAGGGATCCTGACCCAGGTAAAATCGCCATAGAACCGTTATAGAACCCTTCTTGAACTTTTGTAGAAGGCTGACAGGAACCGGGGCACCTAGAATACAGTTTGCAGGTACATGGTGGTATACTAGTAACAAGGAATGCCAAACCATAAAAGCTGCAAGTATCCATTTAACTAGGCTTCTATACATATGCAAATATATATATATATATATATATATATATATATATATATAATCTAAACATACATATGATATTTGTACACATATACATATATAAAAATACACACATACGTACATACATACATATATATATATATACATGTGTACACACATATATATATATATATATTTATTTATTTATTTATTTATTTATATTACAAGGACTCGGATGGCAGTGCTTGTGGAAGCATGGGATGGCCAAGCCTTCCCCTGTTCGGTTTAGGGTGTACAGGGTTTACGAGTTGGGAGGAGATTCGGAGCGGTCTCACTGCCGATATCGTCGGGTTTTGGGGCTTCAACTTGCAGAACTTTTCGAGGTTTTACGGTGGGGGCCTTTGTGCCAGCAGGCAACACAAAAGCAGCACATGTCCGAAGATAAAGTGCGCTCCTGTCGGCTGATTGTCGAAGTGCGAACCTTCATCCCGTCTCCATTGTAGTTGCTTTTTTCTTGCCTTACAGGATCCTATATTAAAATTGTCAAACATTACAGGAGCGACAATAGCGGCTAAAGGTAATGCTCTACTTCAGATGTGCGAGGACTCAACCTCAGTTGCCACGCTTGCAGCCGAACTACGCGCCCAGTGCTACGACATGCAAAGCTTGCCGGCTGTAGGAATCAAGGACGCGGTGAGTCGGACTCGGTGACTCGGTGATGCTTCAAAGCAAACCAACTTCCCCAGAGGCCCCAGAGCAGTTCCTTTTGGGATTACCTTATAGGATCCTACATATGAACCCTAAAAAGGAACCACTTTCGGCCTTAGGGTACTTGCAAGTTACCCTGTTTGTATACCGGCTCAAGCTCTGCAGGTTAGTTCCCTGATCTTCCATACCCAGTGGGAATGTATCCCTTCCAAACCAGCCTAGTGTTCAACCACACCGAGGCTCAGTTGGAGGCATCATCATCATAAAACTGAAATGATACCGACATCTCAAATCGTGCCAACAAGTCTTCCTGCTTCAGAGCTGCGGCAGCTGCTGGTACTGCTGCGGAGCAGGAACTTGCTGGTGACACGGCTGCTGGGCGGCAGGAGCAGCGCCTGGTCTCACAGCAACTGATCGACTGAATGTAAAACTCACCGACATGATCGGCTCGCAGACTGGAGGATCTGCATCATAAAAATCTCCCAAGCTGGATGGAAACACCCACTCTTCGAGTTCTGAGATATTGCAGGGACACCGGGGCATTGCGCCCGCTGCGACGGCAACGAAACACGGATGAGATGGCGCTGGAGCCAGCTAGGAAGGAAAGGAGAATTATATATATATATATATATGTATATACAAAGAACTATATAGGTTTATATACTATATACCAAATCCTGCACGTGAAAACCTGGAGCGACCCAGTTGAATCTCAAGGGTAACCACACAGGAAGCAGCTCAAATCCACAACCTGCATGAAAGAAACGCTCTGGATTGACTAGCTATTGGATCTTCTCCGGTAGATGCATGCAAGGATGGCTGTTCCGGGATGATGAAAGCACGTGACACCAGGACAACCACATTTCCAGCTATTTGGCCCTTGGTGCTAAAATAGGGGCCTCAATAGCTAGAATAAGATTCTGGAACCCATTATACTAGAATTCCAACACGCACGGACCCCTCAAAAAAACATTATAGGTACTTGTTTAGGCCGCTATGCTACTGTGACAGACCGACAGACCACCACTCATGCTGAGATTGAAAAAGCCTTAACTCTTCGGTTGAATCAAATGAACTCCTAACCTCAAACCTCACTGTCGTCAAGGCTTCATAAAGTGCTCCCTAAACTTAACTTGGCAGCTCAAGCCTGTAACAGCAAACCATAAACCCAGAAACTGAGTAGGACACAGCTATTCCCGACAAAACTTGCCAACCTGGCTGCGCGCACCTCAGATACTTGAGGAATTTGGGGTTTGGCCCGGGTCAGGGAATTTGATGAAAGCTCAACCGAATCGTCAACCTCGATAACCCGCTTGGGGCTGGAGACTTCGAGCCCGAGAAAACATAGATCTTGGGTTTGGAGTCTGGTTTCGGATGTAGGGTTCTGCGGCTGGCTGAAAAAGTCACAGGCCCTACCTTGGGGCTGCTGCTACACATCAAAGAATTAAAGATGGCCCGCAACTCAGCATAGTAGAACAATCACTCAATCCAGAAATATTGGACTGGAACTATCCAGAAATCCAGAAAAATACAACTGTACTAAGGCTGACGTTGGCACGGCTGCTGCTGGTACTGGTTTGGGTACGCCGCTGGCTGCTGAAACGGCGGCTGGCTTCCGAAAGCACCTTGCGGGCCATCACATGCTTTGGAGTTTAGGGCTTATAGGGTTTAGGGTCTACAGTCTATAGGGCGACCTTCATATGCCGCTTTGTTAGGGGGGTCCTCAGAAGAAGGATCCTGAGGGGTGTACGAGTCTACCGTCCCTGTACCGGTGCATACTTTGGGACCGACAACATGAAGGTTCGCATCATCATCCTTAATACAGGAGAAGCTTGACTAATCAAGGCTCTACCCATAGGCCCCAAAGTAGATTCCTTTTTGGGATGACCTTATAGGATTCTATATATGAACCCCAAAAGGAATTACTTGGGGGGCCTTAGGGTACAGTACTCTTTCAGCCCCAAACCAACTCATCAAAACACTCCGATTTCTGATCAGCCTCTAGCACCCACTTTGGAACCAACCCGCAGCTCCACATGGCTCAGCCTAGCCTTGAAGACTCCACTTGCTTGGAGGATCATGGGACTTAGTAAGTAGGGGTATAAGTACCTTAATGAGGTTATAAGTATACGTACAGTTACCTTAATTATAACCCTAGTTACTAAGTCCCAGGATCCTTTAAGTGGACACTCTGCGACAAGAGCTCAGCACTCACATAAATGTAGAATGTAGAACACAGGAAAGCACCAAGCATATGTCGTAAGCAAACTTAGTGGCGCAGCTGCGAAAGAGAAACCCGAAGCCAAAGCCCTAGCAACAACATCAACAGCAACAAGCCCCTAACCCACAAGCCCTAATCCTAATATCCTAAACAACAAACCCAAACCAACAGCCCTATAACCGGATGCAAATCCAAAAAATGCCTTGTTTCCCCTTCTCATTCCTGCATACATCACTCTAAGTCTCCTTTTACCCTAAACCCTAAACCCTAAACCCGAAACCCTAAACCCTAATCCAAAATTCTTCAATCCGAGGATCCTGGCTGAGACCTCCGTAACGGCACGGACAGGTCATCAGGGCTCACAGGGTTTAGGGCTTTAGGGTCTATAGTTATTAGGAGTTATAGGGTTGAGGGTCTGGTTACATTGTTTGTAGAGGCTTAAAATCAAGGGTTGAGGATCTCGCTACAAGCACTTACAGCGTTTTAGGCTTCAGGGGTTTAGGCTGCAAGGCGTAAGTCATAAGAATCAAGTGTACTTGCCGTTCAAGCATCGATTCCCGAAGGTTTTTCCACGCTTTCTGACTGGGGGGCTTCAAGCGCCGGGTTTTAGGCTTACTGAAGCGGGCAAGAAATGACTAAAGCAGGGTTTGGGGATACATTATACAGTATTGATAAGGAGCCCTAATAAGGAATAGTACTGACACACATTCAATTTATGAAATTACATTGGGCTGACTATGCAAGGGAGGTTAGGAGTTCGGGTTGGAGATCTGGGGTTTAGGGTCCTCAATGCCCTGAGCCCATTCGGAAGGTCGGGTGACTTTGGCAGGTGGACTTCATGAGCAAGGTAAGGGTAAGGGTTAGAGTTTATAGGGGTTCATTACGGTGATTAAGGCTCATCGGTAGGTATGCTATTCCTCCTCAGGCTCTTCTTCGAAGGCCGTATCGCCTGGATGTTGGCCACAAGAAACCAAAAGCTCATGCCCACCATGCCCTACAAATCAGAACTACCACGTGCACGAATGTACTTGTTGTGCGAAGCTCATGAGACATCTCACCACTCTAGAAACTCGCTTGAGCATGTGTCCATCATGGACGCAACCTCTATGCATGAGGACATCGTAGCTTTGGCAACTTCACAGTCGGAAGCACAACCCTCAATGCTATGTGCTCTCAGAGGCCCTGGGCCCAACACCTTGCCCAATGACAACCGAGTAGCACGGACGGACGCGGTGAGTCCTGCTGCAGATTCTGCTCTAGGAGTGGGATCTGCAGTATGTAGTGGCTTTCGCTCGTTCAGGGATCACTGACATGACGATATGCAATGATCGTGACGGAGCTATATCACTTCAACGATCCTCCTGGAATTGATTGATAGGGGGTGTTGTGGCTTGTAAGGATCGAGGGGTTGGAAGCAGTGCTGTGCCCCATTCTTGCGATGCTATTGGAATATCCAGCAACCAAGGCAATGCGAACGAGCAGCCTGTTGAAGGGGAACAAGAACAAAGTGGGAAGGTGGTTCCAGGACTTGTGCCCTTGGGTTTGAGAAAGCAGTACCAAAGCTTTCTCAGACTATTAAGAGTGGTCTTCTCCGTCTGCTGTCGAGACAGCGGCAAAGTCTACGATGCTTGAGCGGCCCATGAGGCAGACAAAACGTAGAAAATTGAAACCGCGCTTGCCACAGACGTGCGTATCGTGCGGTTTAGGGTTCAGGGTTTATTTGACATGCTACGCCATGGCATGGTGTGCACGCTCGCATTAAATTAAACAGAGAGACTTCAGCGCATGCCCTGAGGCCCTCGCGCAGTCCCAGCCATCTGGTTCAGGGCTCCTTCGCTACCAGCAGAGCTGCTCTCAAAGAGGTTTAGGATTTAGGGTTTAGGGCTTAGGGTCTAGGGGTTACATTATGTGCACGAAGTATATGGCTTCGTGTGGTTCCATGTTTCGTGTTTAAGCTTAGCTTTCAGATCAAGGTATATGTACAACGCAAGAGTCCAGATACTCCTTGTTAGTGTGTTTGATATGGGATCTTCCGAAAATAGGGGACCCTAATCTAGTACCCTAAACAGTAGGATCCTTATTCTAAGGACCCCAAAATACGGTACCCCCCAATTTTCGGAAACTCCCATATCCAATACCAACCCAGCAGCTCAAGATGAAAAGACTTGATTGTCGGCGCTGCTTTTTGCTGCGCTAAGCTGCTGCTGCAGCAATCGCATACACCTAAGTTTACTGGTACACTTCAGTCTCAAGGTATATAGGTTCAACCACCCAAACTCATGTCTAATGCCTATCTGGGTCACCCATCTACGATTACTTTGCCAAAGTGTAATTGTTCTCACAGGTCCGAGTACACCTGCTGCTGCCAAGGGGCGCTTGTCGGTACATGGCCGCAGGATAGTTGAAGCCTCAGATGAAAGGTAAAGGTCGGGGTTTAGGGCGTAGGGCTTCAGAGATATGCCTATCCGAAACCGCAGGCACGTAGGGTGTTGTGAGGGTTGAGGGTCCAAGGGTTGTGGGTTTTGCTGCAAGGGTGGATCGAACAGAATGGTCATAGTGGAGGGAATCAGAACTACATGGGAGTTCCGGAGAAAAAAGGACCCTGCCATAAAGCTCAGATTCGTAGAATTTTCAGTTTAGGAAGTTACCTCGAAAAGACCCTTCATATCATGAAGATTTCCTATGCCAGGAAATACCAGGAACCCTAACCTTAATTACATTGACTCCTTCGGTATCGCCCACACTTCCCCGCGGACGTTGCATTATGAACCTTGGAGATGGACTGCTTGAAATAGTATGCTATAGGGCCCGTAATAATTAGAATAGGGTTTCAGGCCTATTATACCACAACTATATTGAGCAACCCCCACAATGGTAGAGGTAATCATTAAGGTTTCTATATTCGGGCCTTAGTGAGTAGACAGCAAGGGGTGTGTGGTATACTATACCTACATATTTGGAAAACTGCAGGGAGAAGTCTTACTAGCTAGTCACAGCCTAAATCCTGAACCGTCAGGTTTAAGCTGGTACAGCAGCCAGAACATCCTCGAAATGCCCAGATCGAAACGCAAGCCTTGGGCAAGAAATTACTACGAACGCCAAACGCTAAACCCTGAGCCCTTAAACCCCTAAACCCTCAACCCCTAAACCTTACACTCGAACCTTCAGCCCGTAAACCCTACACCCCTAAACCACATCTTGAGGCAAAGAAGCCTGGCTGCGGGGCAGGCCTCAGGCTCACAACGAGGCGCGCTTGTTGTACTAGACCGTCTGGGTTCAAGACTCAATGAACCGATGAACCAATCTTCGCTGAAACTCAACAATTACATGTTTGATTAGGACGAGGTGGGAGTTTCTGAAAATAGGGGGACCCTTTAAAGGGATCCTTACAGGGACCCAAATCAATTTAAAGGACCACACCACGTGACCCCGGAAGCTGGATTGACACGTCCCTGCTACATGGAACCAGTTGTAGGAAACAAGCAAACTTCCGGACGGCAGCAGCATCCTCGGGTACATTATATAGGGGCCCAAATAATTAACTATACTAGTTTGGGGGTTCCTTATTATGATTGTAGCATGGTGGGCAACAAAACCGTAATCCAATTATTAAGGCCCCTACATTAGGGGCTCATCGAAACCCAGGGCAGAATCCTTCAGCCCTAAACTGCGCTTGTATGCACATGGGTGGTTGTCAAAATTGTGGTCCCTTTGTGGGTACCCTAAATAATATGTGCCGTACTATAATAGGGACTCAAAAAGGGACCATAATTTTGACAACCATTCACATGTCAGTGCCTAGCCGGTTGGAAAACGGGCTCTTTAACGGACAATCACAGCATACTGATGACGAAACCCTAAGCCCTGAACCGTACATCAGGGTTCCTTAAAGGGGACCCTACTTCGGAGAACTAGCCTTAAAGTACCCTGCGGTTCAGAAGGGCTGCCTCTGTGAGTCCCCGCAACTACACTCGCATTGGCCAGGCTGGTCTTTAGGGCTCAGGGTTAGCAATGTAGGGGCCTTAATGATTTGAATAGGGTTCCGGTCAAAAAGGCCAACAAGAAGGGCTATTACAAGGATTGAATGTCGGGCCTATTTCATAATCGGAATAGGGTTTGCGGGTATATGATACTATTACTATATTAAGGAAACCCAAAACCCTATTCTGAATATTAAAGGCCCCTACATTACATGACCAAGCCCCGGACCTTGAGCCCTGGACCCAAGAAACCTGACTAAAAGCCTGATCCCGCAACCGTGAAACCATATTATACTAAACCCTAAACCCAAAACCCTAAACTCAAAACCCTAAATCCATATTATACCCAACCTCTCCGGCTGAGCTGCTGCTGATACTGTGGCTGACCTCCCACAGGGGCCATGCCTGAGCAGAGCTGGGGACGTTTGGGATTCGAGCCTCGGACCCGACCTAGATAAGCCAAAAAACTATATGCTATAATGATTCTGACGTAACAAAGTACACTACAATACAGTATGGTATAAAAACTACGATGTAATCTAATGCAAGTGCAATACAAGTCCGTAAAATTTCATACGGCTGATGATATAAACCCTGCATTCTCCATAATAAGGAATATGCCAGAATTCCCATAGTGTAGGGTCCTTAAGGTAATGCAGGATTTATATCATCAACAGTATCACACATCACGTTTAGGGCTTAGCTCCTGAGAACTCAAAGGCTGCTTGAACCCTACGGTTGATGATATGGGGGTTTCCGAAAATAGGGGGTACCTTATTTGGGGGTCCTTCTAATAAGGATCCTACTATTTCGGGTGCTTTTTTAGGGTCCCCTATTTTCGGAAACTCCCATATACACCCCCCTGCATTACCCTTAATGAGGAATATACCATAGTTCCCATAGTTTAGGGTCATTAAGGTAATTTTGGATGTATATCACCAACCCTAGTAGCCTGAACTTCACTTCAGGGCCCTGAAACCCTAAACCCTGAGGACCCTGGATTTAGGGTTTTAGGGTCTAGGGTTTAGGTGTTTGGGTTTAGGGTTTTGGGTTTAGGGTTTGTTTAGGTGTTTGGGTTCAGGGTTTTGGGTTTAGGGTTTACGGTTTAGGGTATAGGCATAGGGTTTTGGGTTTAGGGTTTGGTTTGGGGCTCTTAAACCTCTCAACCGCTTGGCCAGCATTCAACATGTGCAGCCCAAGAATGGGACCAACGCTCGAACATTGATGCAGGCAGTCACATCTTCTCGATTACAGAGGCCCTAGCTTAGAAGCTGCCCCCACGCTGTAATAGTGCATATAAGGATCATATTAGGGCCCTATTATATTCCTATTATACCACTATTACAGGGTGGTGGGGCAGCTTCTAGGCCCCCTAACTGTTAGGAACCCTAACGTACGGTCCTTGCAGCCAAGGCCGTAAAGACGGTTGCACTCCCACAGACTACTAGTATTATTTTATTATTATATTATTATATTTTTAAATTATTAAACTATTATATTATTAAATTATTAACTTATTATGTTATTATATTATTATATTATTATATTATTATATTATTATATTATTATATTATTATATTAGTATATTAGACCTCGGGCTGCCTTTCTGTGCTCAATCTGGCAGTTGGCTTCATGCTCAACCTGTCCCAGACCGTGAAAGTGACCATAAAAGAGGCTACTCCCAGTAATCATTCCCATGTAGAGCCCAGACAAATGACACATCAACCCGACCATCATGACAACCATGATGAGCAATCTCACAACCGTGGCAGTTGCAAGAAGGCAAGCCACAAACATCATCCATCAGCTGCAGCGCCAACATCGACATCATTGTCGTGCTGTCTCTCTCTCTCTCTCTCTCCAAACCGCCGTGATAGTGTAAGCGTCTCAAACGGACTCTCCACTACACCCGTCAGGCGTCAGCACACGATGAGGCCAAGGGGCCAGTCATCGTGTTACACCTCGGAAGAAGCGATTCACTCACTGGGTTGTTCTCGCACTCTGTACCGGCCATGTTGGGCTTTACAACAACGGGCTTGTAGAGGCTTTGAAACGGGTTTATGGAGGTTCCAGATCGCTTTTGTGCCCCGCAGCCAAGCAACGGCTGCTGAAACGGCTGCTGGGCTGGCATGGGGGCCGCACCTTGGTTCGCGATTTAGCTCCCTTCAGTTTTAGAGTTCCTGTAAGGATACCTTCAGGCAATCTATAAGGCCATAAGGGGTCCCACGGACGCGGAGTGAAGGGTGTAGGCCGAAACCACAAGCCTTGTAAGCTGCAACTCTAGGAGTAAAGCAAAAACGGAAACCAAGAACAAGGTAAACACGGCCCCCATGGACTCAGGGTGGCTTACACCCGGCACAAAGAAAATACCAGCAACTCTCAGAGAGGCGTCAACGTTCCGGGCTACAGGGCTCCCGCTCCGAACCTTGAGTGCTTCTCGCCTTTCGTGCACATGCTTAGTATAGGGGCGCGGCGTAAGTAGCTTTAATATTTGCTTCTTAAGGCTCCTTCATCCTACCCATGCTCTATAATATACCCCCCAAGGCCCACATTGTGAAGGTCAGGGCCCCTATATAAAGGATCTCTTGCAAGAAGGATTGGGGCCTGAGGTTTCGCTTTGTAGAGTCATGTGGCGAGGGCCCTGGTACGAACACAATCTCATTGTGTTTAGGGTCTAGGGTCTCGCGGTTAAGTTTAGGGCTTTAAAGAAGGTTCGGGCTTAGGGTTTAGGGCAACCCGGAAGTAAACCCAGAGATCCGTAGACGCCCTAAACCGTATCCTCCAACTCTTAGTCCTAAGCCCCAGCAATCTTCGCCCATCCCGACCAAGCTCCCCTGTCACGTGCATGTCAAGCTGCCAGGCTGTGCAGCACACCTTGAAGGGACGCTTTGGGCCGTAAACCCACAATGCGCAACTGCTCCCTATAGGTTTGGCGGCCTACTTCCGTCGAATTATGGGATATTGCCATCAGCAATACCTTAGCTTGGTGCTGGTTCAGGTCTCCTTCGATTCGCACTGGGGGATCTCAACTCGCGCTCAGTACAGTGGGACGCGCGGCCCCTGATCTGATATTTACCTGGACGGTCAACCAATATTAGCTTAGGGTGTAGGGTTTAGAGTAACATGCAGGTCTGAAAGATTAGTCTTTAATGCTAGTAGTGGGGTAGAGTAGAGTAGAGCAGAGTAGAGCAAAGCAGAGGAGAAGTGGAGTAGGGTAGAGTAGGGTAGGGTAGAGTAGAGTATATAGTAGTGTAGCGTAAAGAAGATCAGATGCAGCGTAAAGAAGATCAGAGCAGAGTAGAGCAGAGCAGAGAGTACCTTTAGCCTTTTTGGGGTACCATAATCCCTTTTCAATCCTAGGAGGTAACCTTTAGTTCCCCTAGGATACTGGACAAGTAAGTAATACCGTCGCCTTGCAATCCTGCGGGATTTGGATGGTTGAGATCCATTTAACAGTTTGCTTCTGTTAAGCCTACGCCACACAGCCGAACCCCAAGCGCCGCAACGCCCAATGAATGCACCCTTATAAGCACCAGACCCACAAGCCTGAACTTGGAAGTTGAATCAACGCCCTCCAACCCTGTAAACCCTTTACTCCCAATCCGAACCCCAAACCTCAAAGCTAGACTTGAAGCCCTTCAAATTTACATAAGTAGCCTCAGTAGCCCAACTAAAATCCCTAGAAACCCTGAAGCCCCAAAACCCTACCTGGATACAGGTAGGTTCTAAACACTTTAAACCTCACACCTAAAAGCCGATACTAGGGGACCCTAATATAGTACCCTAAATAGTAGGATCCTTATTATAAGGACTCCCAAAATAAGCTGCCCCTAATTTCGCCATCCTCAGTAGTTTAAGTCGAGCTTCGGCTGCTGCTGATACTGCTGCTGCCCATTTGGAGGAGCACCTGCGCTCTCCCGGGGCTCAGGGCTTGGGGTTTAGGGGTTTTGAGTTTAGGGTATAGGGTTTAGGGTTTTGAGTTTAGGGTTTAGGGATTTGAGGCCTGGATTTCAGGCCCGTATAGCATGCTACCACGATCGCAACCGAAAGAAAGCCTCGGACAGCTGATGGTTTTGTCGCTGTCTCGGCTGGTTGCTTTGACCCTGAAACGTACCTATATTCTCCATTGTAGTTCCTTTTTGGGGTTACCTTCTAGGATCGTTAATATAAAAATGGTTAAACCAAAAAGGGAACTACAATGGAGACTATAGGTAGACCCCTAAACCCTAAAACGACTTGTATGATGTGTCTCCGGTCTGACGAAAGTGTGCGATTGACCGGGGCTCTAGTCTAGGGTAAGTAAAGGGGCCTTAATCTGAACAGTGAGTGCGCATCCAGAATAGCATTCCTTCAATTCGGGTCCTTGATTCATTACAGTATCATACCACAAAACCCTATTCGAACAATGAAGGCCCCTGCCTGAGACCTGGATGCCCAAACCCATTCCTATACCTGGGGACTACCACTTGGACACAGTAGTCGTAGGGTGTAGGCGTACATAAAGTTTTTCTACCTCCTCCATCGTAGCTCTAGCTTTAAAGACTGTTATTGACCCGGACACTTCAATCCCTGAACACTCAGCCTTGAAATCAAAGTCTGTAAGACATAAAACACTAAACAGTTCATGTAGCAACTTCATAGAAGCTTATTCACCTATGGAACCTCTATATCTGGCCGAGTAGCCCGGATGCGCGCACCTCAGTAGCATGGCTTTAGACGGGCGCCCTGGGTTTCTTCAGAAAAGACTTTGAGGAAATGCGAAGAGCCAAGATGAGAATACTCTAAGGGTTCAGGACTTGAAGGTTAAGGGCTTGCGGCTGTGGGGTATGGGGTATTCAGGATGATTGTCTGTAAGTGTGGTCGAAGGGTGTTCGCAGTTGAAGCGGTTCCCGCATGATGCCAAGCTGAGTGCTGCAAGATTCGCCGATGGCTTCGTCTTTCACAGAAGATTAATGCAGCGATGGACGGTTGGAGACTGATATCATCAGGATACGCATCTGATCCAACTATCCGAGGCCCGCTCCAAATAAAGTTCAGTAAACTTAGGATATTCTTTACTCTGATAAACCCATCTTGAGCAAAACGTTTGCTGGGGAGCACTGCTGTAAATCTTCTTTGAACGGTTCATCCTGAAACACCACGCCGTATACTCAGTAGGAAAGGTCGCGTACCTGTCTAATACAGGCCCCCATGCTAATCATAACAAGACTAGAGTTTTCGAATTTTGTGGTATACTGACCTGTCTATACTGTCGGACAAGTATAATTATGTAGGGACTGCTCGGGAAGTCAGACCGCTACATTATGCACATTCTCTAGATACCAAGCGCAGCCTTCTGCCTAATGCCAATGGGCCCTGAACGACGCAATCATACTGTACGCTCACCAAGACCCTATTCCGGATCCCTGGTCTCTGGCGCCAAGCGGACAGGACTTAGTCCAGGGGTTTAGGGTTTTGGATCTTAGGACTCAGGGGAGTCTGAACAGATGGGATGGTTTGATGAGTGCATCACTGTTTGAATCTTCGGATCGCAGTGAATCTTCATATCCTGTAACTTCCATCAAACCCTCAGGGTTCATGTGGGTGGTTGTCAAAATGATGCTCCCTTTTTGGGGTCCCTAATATAGTACGGCACCTAATATTTAGGGTACCCAAAAAGGGACGCTAATATTGACAACCACCCATGTGCCTGCATCGCATCTGGTGTTTAGCGGACAAAGCAGGCACTTTCGAAAAGCTCAACACCACCTCCTCCACACCTGACTTATTCCTTTCTAGGAGCCCAGTTGCCTGGTAAATGGGTTACTGTTCCTTAAAGACCCCCCGGTACCCACATCCACAGCTACAACTTTACATGTCTGTATGTATGTGTGTATGTATGTTTGTATGTATGCATACGGGCATGCATGCATGCATGCAGAAAGGCAGGGGAAGCAGGCAGGCATGAAAGCAGGTAGGTAATTATATGTGTGTGTGTAGAACAATTAGACAACACAATACCACACAACATAATGCAATAGATACAACAGATTGCAATACCATGAATGCAAGACAGCTACAGCCCCACTACATTGTAAAAAAAGAAACAGTTAGGGCCTCACAATCTTGGACATGGCACTGGCTATATAATTGCTGCCTCGACACGGCTGCTGCGGGTACGGCTGTTGAGCAGTTGTTTGCTGCGAATATGGCTGGTAACCAGTTGGGGCAGCGCCTGCTTCGTCAAGGAATGCACGGCATGTGTGCGATGGTGGTTCGTGACTGGAATAATCCTACTTGTCGGGTATCATGGGGAACTAAAGGTTAACCTTTTTGGTTATATAGGGATCATATAGGGGCTATATTCCCCAAAGAAGGTTAAAGGTTGCCTTCTCTACTACTAGGCAATTACATACCGAGCACAGCCAAGCCAAGCCGAGAACTGGTCTGGCACATTATGTCCAAAGTGCCTCTTCAGCCTTGTTCATACCCAAGGTCGGATAGTGCGGGTGTAGGGATTAGGGGTTCCTGGTGCCTTCTGACCATCTCATACCGACCGTTTTCATCTTGCCGTCTCAGCTCATTTGAGGCGGAGGACGCTTGCTGCACGACCGTGAGAAAGACTTTGCCTACTGGGTATACTTGTGCAACTATATTGTCTTGAACCATTGCCGATATGCTCAAATGTTGCTCTTGTTGCCAGCGTAATTCTCTAACTATCATTGATGCGTCTTCTAGTCTTACCGTTCCCTCAATGTCGCAGTCACCTCAGGTACTCCGATACTCAGCACGAAACCACCGGATCTCCAACGGGGCATTTCCGCAACGGGTGAGGAAGTCTGGGTTTAGAGTTTAGGGTTTGGGGTGTAGCGTTTTGAGTTTGGGGTTCTTGGGGAGGTTGCAATAACACTCCAACCACCACTGATCTGCAATACTGCCATCCCAAATCCAGACGCATTGTTAATTATCAAGTATTTAAAATACTTAACCCTAAACCCTAAACCCTAAACCCAAAATTTTTGGACCCTACAAGTCATTGCACGCCAAATGGCCTGGTTGCGCACACCTCAGCCATGTGCTTGGCGTTGCACGGTGACCCCGGGATCAGGGTTGAGGGATCAGGGCTTAGGGTTGAGCGCCTACTGCATCACAGAACGATTCAGGATCCCACACCGACAACACAGGACAAAGACGAAAACAAAACCGGGTGGAACTTTTTCAGAACCACCCTGTCGCCGAACAGAAAACACCACATTGCACTGAAGCCACTTCTATGTACAGTAATGCGGGCTAGATTGCCTCCCATAATATACTTGCATACGATAACTGATCACGACCCCGCACATAGGCAACATGGCTTGTTAGGCTAGCCAAATCAGGTTGACTCCTCAACCAGTCTGCCGTCAGCAGCCGTCAGGAAAGCAAAGCGATTTCAGCAGCGAAATTCAGCATTTACGCTGCAAAGAATGATAAAGCATGATGGAAGCCGCCGACATGCATCAACAAAACTCCAAATGCGGGTCCGCTGATATCTTGCAGATAATATGTCTTTGTAGGGGTTGAATAGAAACTAGTGTTATATCCTGTCCCCCGTACACATAATCCGTACACTTCCATGAACCCAAACCCTTAACCCAAACCCCCTAAACTGGCCCGAAACGTAGTTCATGCAAAGCCGCGGCTGCTGCTGGTACTGCTGCTGGCACGGCTGCTGGGCCGCCGGTGGCTGCTGATAAGGCAGCTGGCCATTTGGAGCAGTGCCTGTCTAATGTGGGGGCGCAGTCATACACTCCTAATATACCTGTAAACGTCATAATGTACACAAGATTCTAGATGCATCTATACATATATGTATGTGTATGTAGAACAACATAGGTGTATATACATACGTGTTATGCATTATACATACTCTATATGCATATGTATATGTATATATATATATATATATATACACACACACGTTTACATACCCTTGTATACACACAAATTTCACGGTGTTTGCTGCTTTGTACACTTGTTGTACATATAAATCTACATGTATAGTCTTGATGAAGGTTCATACATGTAGTCAAACAGGTTAGCGTGTGCCTTTCAAAGCGCCAACAGCCAACTGCTTTCACATCGGTGGCGAAGTCTGCGGTATCGGCTTCATTCGAAGTCTGTCATCGGTATCTCGCATATCTGACTGACATGTCCCCAAGATTCGTGGGAACCGACCGTTTCCCGGTTGGCAATTGCAGACTGAAGACAAAGGAAAAAACGTGCAATCATGGGATCGGGTGGGGCGAAAATTGATGCGTATTGAACTTTCTGCCAACGTGGCCACCGTTTATATGTACATGGCATACACGATCGACGGCTCAGATCCAACGAAGTCGATCGATTGAAGCACGAAGGACGAAGAGCTGTAACTTCGCAAACAAGTGTACTACACATAAGCCCGAGAAATACAGAGTTTGCGAGAGTGCGTGCAGTAAGCTGATGGATAGATTTGCCGAGGAATCTCTCGATTGGTTTTCACACAGCCATCGAAATCATTCCCAAGGCCAGCCTGGCTGCCCACACCTCGGCCACAAGGCATAGCCCAAAGGACCCCTTTAAGGATACCATAAGGGTTCTATAAGGGCTCTATGGGGGTTTAGGGTATTTAAGGGTCCATGTACCCAAATAGTATATATACTTTGGCCCCAACCTACAAAGGGAATAATTGAAGGCCAAAGTATATGGGTGGTTGTCAAAATTAGGGTCCCTTTTTGGGTCCTTATCATAATACGGCACCTAGTATTTAGGGTACCCCAAAAAGGGACACTAATTTTGACAACCACCCAAATACTGTTTCGGTGCATGGACCCCTCAGGTCTGGTCGAGGCCCCCCAAGGGTCCAAAGGACCCAATAATTAGGTACCCGGGTTTAGGATAGTAGTTATGTAGGTTAGGATTTTGGAGAGTTTATGATTATTGGGTACTTGGACCCTTGGGGGCAGCTCCTGTTGCTTTCAGGGGCCAATCCTTTGACTATTGCTTGGATGCTTTACGGTACGGGACATTGTTCCTCAAGCGTCCCCCGAATTCTGAAACCTACTCCAAAATTTATTTTAAAAACCTGGTTCAGTTCTAATCCATAATGAAAGCCCTTCATAATGAAGTTTCAGGGTTTGAAGGATGACCAAAGGCAGAAGGTGGAAATTCCGAACACGAACTTGGTGGGAATACAGCTGGAGGTTCTCGGCAACAAACCTCGAAAAATAGCCTAGGGTTTAGCGTGCCTTGAGACATCTACCATTTGGGTGGGGCTTGTTGCTGGCAGGTAAGTACGCAAGACAAGAATACATCCGAATTGGGCAGTGCTAGTGGGTACTTGTGGTATTCCAAAAGCATCCCGGGATCAGCGATCCAGTTCGGAGTGGCTAAGAGTTGCGGGCCTAGGTTGGAGCTGCAAAAAGTTAAGGTAATCACAAGCTTGGAGTCATATCTAGCACAGGCTTAGTATTGCAACATCTGCCAAGAATTTCTTAGAGTCATCGATGTTTTGGCTTCTGGGCCGTTGTCGGATGGAGTACGTCAACCTGACTGCCGGGATTGAGTGTAGAGCTTAGGCCAGCAAAGGCCCTCATCTTAGTTACCCTAATAGTAATAATAGTAATAATAGTAGTAATAGTAATAATAGTAATAATAATAATAACAATAATAATAATAATAACTGACACCCTGAACTCCAAAACCCTAAGCCCCAAACCGCAGGGACCCATTTTGGGTTTAGCGGTCATGGACTTAACCGACGCCGAGTCACGGCTGCTGATACTGTGGACAGCCCATGGGTGCCTGGCCTCGGGGGGCAAGAATCTGAAACCCAAAAACCCCTAAACCCTAAACCCTAAACCCTAAATCCTGAACCCTAAACCCTAAAGCCTAAAGCCTAAACCCTAAACCCTAAACCCACAAGCCCTTGAGCCCAGAGTCCCTTTTAAGATGTTAACCCTAAGCCCTAAATCCTAGAAATCCCCAACTCGAAATCATGAACAGGTTCGAAACTCTGCAGCGTAATTTGATGGTCTCAGCTACAAGACCCTAAAGCTCTGAACCCCAAAACCCTTAAAATCCCCTGTGTTCTAACGCTAAAGCCTAAAACCTTGAATCCTTGATCTGCTCTCGTCCCAGGAATCTCATTACTAAGGGCAGAAACCCTAAACCCTATTGAAGAAATGGGCGGGGGCAGGGTGCCGCCCCGGAAATCCGGTTGTTCTTCAAGGCTAGTGAATCAGGAGCATGCACACTGTTTCAGGTCTATGATTGGGTTTAGGGTTCAGGGTTTAGGGATATTCGCATCCCCGGTTTTGTGGCTTCTCCTTTGTACGTCGGGGTAGATGTGCGTTTCTGCAATCTGCAACTACCAGGCCCTGGCTGTAGAGCACCTCGGGCAGTTCTGGGTTTTTCTACACCCTAAACTTTAAAGGCCGACGACGACTGACTCAAAATGAGCTCGTGGCCGGAGCTATAAACAGGGCTTTCGGGCAGCTGCCGCTCTGCTTGTACTAGATCCTTTGAAGGGTACTGTGGGGTTCCACAATGGGGTTTCCTCAGAAGTCTCCTTCTACTAGAACATTGAAAGGTTCCTATAAGGGTTGTGTCTATAGGGTTTAGAGTTTAGGGTGGGTTTTGGATCCTGGGTTCCTATAAGGGTTGGGTTTAGGGTTTAGAGTTTAGGGTGGGTTTCGGTTCCTTTTAAGGGTTCCTATAGGGGAATACTCATTGCTCACTACCCAGATTTCTATATTACCCAGCGACTCAGAATTCCGTGATGCCAAGAGGCCCGGCGCTCCATACCTCGAAATTCTGGCGAACAGCTGCTCCGGTGTTCGGGTTGCAACTTCTAGACCTAAGAGTAACCTAGGAATAAAAAGGGTGCCCTTTTTGGTTTAAAGGAGTTTATAAGGGAACCTGAACCCTCAAAAAAGGGAATAAGGGCCTACTCTGGGTCCTAGACTTGAAGACAACTAGCTAGTATATGATAGGTTTGTTTGTTTTCAGGTTTTAGTGGTTCAGGGTGTGTGTTTATTCTCGGGTTGTGGCCATCTTGTTGGGAAGAAGAAGAAGACGCCTACTACGAGAAGTGGTAGTAACATGATACACAGAACTAATTTAACAGCATCTAACAACACCGATGCTGATCACAACAGCTATCATCAACACAGTGCGTACAAGAAAGAACCAAATCAGGAACAAAGTGGATGCCATAAAGCAGATCGCATGCCTGTAGACTACATAGTACAGAGCAACCGAGCTATGATAGCCACACTAACACCAAAACCCTGACCCAAAAACCTACAAAAACCGACGAACCAACGACTGCCACAAGATGGGAGAGGAAGACCTTCGCTAGGAGTAAAGGATTCATGCAGCTTCCTTAGTTCGAAAACTAAGGACAACATCGCAAATCCCACCGATCAGGCCTTAAAGAAGTGGGGTTGGTTCATCTTGGCCATTCAGCCGGAGACTTCAGCTATATGATCATAAAGTTGCCCTCGCCCCAGAACCCTGGAACTTCAACAGGCCGTCGGAAAGCCCAAGCCACACAACCCCCAACGGAAAGCCATAGCGTAAACCAAAAACACTAAAGCGAGGTGCCTCAAGAAAAACACCAACACCATCAGCCGGTAAAGACTACACATCATATTCAATCCAACCCTAAAACTTTAACTCCTACCTTTGAGGATTCGGTATTCCATAGAAGAGGGACGGAACTTGCTGGTAGCTCGGCGGGGCAGCCGAAGGGGCCATGCCTGTCTTCGCATGGAGTTTTTGGTTGAACTACCTTTTGAGGTAGGGCTTGAGGCTTAAGGTCTTTGGGCTTGACAACTCTTGTTGCAGGCCTTGAGGAGATGCTGCAGTTTTTCTTTCACGTGGGAGGGTTTCGCAAAAGTGAAGAAGGACAGGGCATGATCTGGGTTCGTATTCTGTCTAACGCCCTCATTTGAACTACAGTTCGGTAAGGCTTGAATAGGCTTGAAAGCTCTTGGGCTGAATCCGCGAGCATGCCCTGCCTATAAGAGACGTGGGTGGAAACGCATCGCCGGGATCCGGGCATCGCATGCTTTTTAGGCTTTAGGGTTTATGGTCCTTATGGTCAGGATTTCGGGTTTCGGGTCAAAGTCATACCCAGACACGCTTGTGCGGAGACCCGAAGCAATCAGATCCTGGTCATGAGGGCCCCGAATGTCTGACCCAAAGAACAACCAATACAGGAACCCAACAATAACATAGGCAATTTTAAAAGCCCCTATATTACTTGATCCTTATCATGACATATGCGACCAGACTGTCCCCGGCTGTCCCCATCTCAACAGCGATTTGGCACCAAAACGAACCCATCGTCGCAAGACGTTCCGGCCAAGTCATTAGTCAACATACTTAGCTTCTTATCTGCAATACGGAGATTCTACAACCCTAAGCCCTAACAGAACTGGGGCAAAACAGGGACAGCAGGGAGACAATCGGACTTGTCCGTGCCGTGCTTTTTGGGACTCCATTGAACACTCCAGCGCAGAGTGCTGACCGTACTTAACACACATAGCTGCGGTAGTAAAGCCAGAGCTACCCTGCCTTGCCCGCCATTTGCGAATGGCTGGGCATACTGCTGCCTTGGTGCGTTGGAGTGGGACAGAGAGCAACGGAGAGAGCGAGCGAGAGAGAGAGACAGGGAGAGCGAGAGAGAGCGACGTCATCCCCATGAAGCCAGAAACCCTGAACCACTCAGCCCTTACTCTAAAGGTTCATCCATATCGGCAGATTACACTCAACCATGTACTACTGTACTACCATCAGCCACATGGACCAGTTGAAAACCCACACACCCCCACGCTCTAAACCCTGAATCCCTCAGGTTACGGACATGCGCTCTCATTGAGGCGCTTGCGGCGGCGCTTGGCCCCACTGACCCGGTGCCGGCCTCTCCGTAGGAATTCGATCAGAGACAGTTTCAGGATTTTGTCACTTTTTTGGCTCGCTGAGGACACAAGAGCTCAAGACGGGCTCTTTTATAAGGTGATAGCAGGGTTTAGTGGCTCGACTGCCAAACCTTGTCCGGACCACGTGGGCACTGCATTTGCGATGCTTGTGTTGGAGACTGTTTCCTTGTTGCAGGAACATTAGTATGTGCGGAGACAAATATGGGCCACCCACAAGATGCAGCAATCCAGGCTCTACTGCCCGAAAATGATCTCTGAAACCCTAAAACCCAAACCCTGAAACCCTATGAGCCCTAAACTCTGAAACTAAACCCTAAACCCTAAACCCCAAAACCCCTAAACCCTAAACCCTAAACCCTAAACCCCAAATCCCAAAAGCCTGAAAAGAGATCCTTTGGGCTGCTGGGGTCCCGGGTTGCTTTTTCTAGGGGCCCTTAGGGTTTAGGGTTTAGGGTTTAGGGTACCACTATGGGCTATTAGACCTTAAGGGTACCTTAATCTACCCTTAATAGGGTCCTACTAGGGATCTTTAGGGTCTAATAGCCCATAGTGGCAATTGTCGGGTATCATGGGGAACTAAAGGTGAACCTTTTGGTTATATAAGGATTGTATAGGGACTATACTACCCAAAAAAGGTTAAAGGTTACCTACTCTACCACTAGGGAAAAGACGTCTCTATCCATTTCAGGCTTCATTCAGGTTCCGAGGCTTTAGTTTGGCTTTCTTGGCCTGGGGGTGAAGGGACTGGGGATGGACTTGTTTAGGGTTTAGGGTGTTAGGGTTTGGGAGGTTTACGGGCTTGGAGTTGTGAGCTTTCCTCGGCATTTTGGTATTTCTAGGGTTTGGGGCTTATGATCGGGATTCCTGCAGCACGAGCCGTACTTTGGCGCTTCAGTTCAGTACGTGTAGATTGCATCTGTGAAGCTGTATATACAGTAACCGTTGGAGGCTAACATGGGGCCTCTAAGAGCCTTGGAAATAGAAACGGTTTTGGGGTAGATTTGGATTAGTCAGGAGATAGGTATGGGGTAGAGGGTAAATGATCGTTCGGTTTGTAGTTATGGACTACTCGGAGATAGGTATGATATACCAAGACTGTATTTCAGGTACCTATGTCAGGTCGTGGCCCGTAAGAAGTAGCAACGTGTATCTTCGGCATGTCGAAGTTACGATCTTCCCTCACCGCACCGTTTTGCCCTGGATGACTTCCTGCCTCGGGCGCTTGCCCTCGAAATGCCAGCTACGGCAGCAACGTACGTATGTGAGGGAGTAGCTTTTCTATTCTTATTATTATTATATGGTTGCTACACTTGACTTGGTTATGGCTACAAGGTAACTGGGCTTCCAGGGGTTAGTGAAGCTCAGAAACCGCACAGACTCGCAATTTTGCGACTCTCGTGGGAGCCGTCTCCGAAACGGCTGGAAAATTGCGCCGCAAGTCTCCCGTGGGCGCCCTCAAGTCGTTTAGGGCTTCAGTTGTAAAAGTGGCTAGTCTAAACCTCTGAGTAACTCCTGACTTCCTGAGCCACTCCCTTTCTGGGAGGGCCTTCCTAATTTTAGGATCCCGAATTAGTGATCCCTCTCTCGATTCCCAGTACGTCTACATGGTATCCACTACAATGCTCCCGCTAAACGCGCCCCTGTGTGGACCATGCATTTGTTTTGCTTTGGCGATGAGAGGCTTCCTATATGCATACGTAGCAGCCCTACATACACCCTGAAACGCAGCTCCCCTTCTTGTTTCTTCTAGCCCTAAAGGAGGGTATCCTAACAAATTCAGGGTCCAGGCAATGCCTGAGTCTACTACGCTTCGACATTGTGTTTTGCTGTCTCCCACCAGCACTACGAGACCCCAAACCCTTAACCCTCACCCCCCATGTAGTCTAAGCAAGCACTTTGGGGCCTTAAGGGTTTCTCGGAGCTCAGCTCCATGAACGCCAGTGTCTCGAAGATCGCAGCGCGAAAAATGCAAGGCAGTCTCTCGGCACACTCCAGACTTGGAGATACGGCGGATGATCTTCTGGTGTGGGTGTGTCCCCTTATGGATAATGCAGGCCTGTTCCATCAAGCGCCCTAAACCAGCAGATGATGTGCCTGATGAGCACCGAGATCGCAGCGAATTCCCTAAAGCCTAAGCCCTACAAGAACATCACTCCAAGGGTAGAAGGAAGGACCCTTAATCAGGACCCCTAGGTATATACCCTTAATATCCCTTAATATAGCCATTATATACCCCTTATCTAGCCCATTATAGGGTAGGGGTCCCCACTAAGGGTCCCTTGCCCCTTTGAATCACTGCTCCACCAAGGACAGCTGGAGTGCAGCCTCTATCATGGCTGCCTCTGCATCCTCTGGCTCAGATAGGCAGCACAAGGGAATTTCCGAAAATAGGGGACCCCATTATACTGCTGATGCTGCAAATCCTGCATTACCTTAATTGAGGACCCTAAACTATGGGAATAATGGTATACTCCTTATTATGGGTAATGCAGGATTTATATCATCAACCGTAGTACTAAATAGTAGGACCCTTATTATAAGGACCCCAAATAAGGTACCCCCTAATTATCGGAAGCTCCCACAAGAAAAGGCGAATCAAGGGGCTTCGGGGTCGCGGGTTTAGGGCTTAGGGTATAAGGTTTAGGGTTTAGGGTATAAGGTTTAGGGTTTAGGGTTTAGGGTTTAAGGTTTAGGGTTTAGGGTTTAAGGTGTGGTAACGTCATGGGTGCTCGCTGGTGTGTGCACACCCAGGCCGCTCGCACTTGTGCGTAGCAGACAGCCCACCCCAAGACCACCCTGAGTTCAGGCATTTTAGGGTTTATTTCTAAAGTCTTCTAGGCATCCCAGCGGGGGCTTGGATATCACCGACGGAAGCCGTTACTCTCAGCGGGGCCCAGGCAAGATCGAAAGCAGCACCGCATGCGGGCTTCCTGTGACCTGCCCCCCTCTCTGGATTAAGCTTTCGGTGAGGCTCTGCGGTTGGATTGTTATGCAGCGTTCTGTAAGGCTGTCATGGCACGTGCCGGAAGATGCAGTGGACTTTCTGTGAGGCTATGATGACGGGAATTGCGCAGAAACAAGCAGCACTGCATGTCGGCTTTCTGTGAGTCTGTCCCTGTTCGGCGTGGGCTTTCTGTAAGGCTGCGTTGGCGGGTTCTCATGTGGGCTTTCTGTGAGGCTGTCCTGGCGGGTGCCGAAAGAAGCAATGGGCTTTCTGTGAGGCTGTGCTGGCGAATGCCGGAAGAAGCAATGGACTCTCTGTGCGGCAGGAATTGTGCAGAAACAAGCAGCACTGCATGTGAGCTTTCTGTGAGCTTTCTGTGTGGCTGTGTTGAGTCTGTCCCTGTCTGGATTGGGCTTTCTGTGTGGCTGTGTTGGCAGGTTTTCATGTGGGCTTTCTGTGAGTCTGTCGCTGTCTGGATTGGGCTTTCTGTGAGGCTGTGTTGGCGGGTTCTCATGTAGGCTTCCTGTCCTGGCGGGTGCCAGAAGAAGCAACGGGCTTTCTGTGAGGCTGTGCTAACGAATGCCGGAAGAAGCAGTGGGCTTTTTGTGAAGCGGCAACTGTGCAGAAACAGGCAGCACTGCATGCGGGCTTTCTGTGAATCTGTCTCTGTCTGGATTGGGCTTTCTGTGAGGCTGTGTTTTGGCGGGTTCTCATGTGGGCTTTCTGTGAGGCTGTTCCTGGCGGGGATGAAGCAATGGGTTTTCTGTGAGGCTCCAATCCTTGTCCATTTCGGATTCGCACCAAATCCTGCAAGTCATGACGGGTTTGGGGGGTCAAACCCTTGTCCATTTGGGAGCCGTTCCAAGTCGTGAAGGGTTGGGTGGTCAAGCCCTTGTCCATTTGCCGTCATGAAGGGTTGGGGGGTCAAACCCTTGTCCATTTACCGTTCATGAAGGGTTGTGGGGGTCAAACCCTTGTCCACTTGCCGTTCATGAAGGGTTGGGGGGGGTCAAACCCTTGTCCACTTGCCGTTCATGAAGGGTTGGGGGGGGGTCAAACCCTTGTCCACTTGCCGTTCATGAAGGGTTGGGTGGTCAAATCCTTGTCCATTTGGGCGCCGTTCATGAAGGGTTGGGGGGTCAAACCCTCGTCCATTTGGGAATTGGCCAAAAAGGAGGAACCCAGAGATCGGCCGACAGCCTAATGTAAATGGTGCATTTTATAAGCAGAATTTGGTAACAGAAAATCAGCTGTCAGCTTCCCGGAAAGGAACACGCGCCAAGTCGTGAAGGGTTGGGGGGGGGTCCAACCCTTGTCCATTTGGGAGCCGCTCCAAGTCGTGAAGGGTTGGGGGGTCAAACCCTTGTCCATTTGGGAGCCGTTCATGAAGGGTTGGGGGGTCAAACCCTTGTCCACTTGCCGTTCATGAAGGGTTGGGGGGTCAAACCCTTGTCCATTTGCCGTTCGTGAAGGGTTGGGGGGGTCCAACCCTTGTCCATTTGGGAGCCGCTCCAAGTCGTGAAGGGTTGGGGGGTCAAACCCTTGTCCATTTGGGAGCCGCTCCAAGTCGTGAAAGGTTGGGGGGTCAAATCCTTGTCCGCTTGGGGGGTCAAACCCTTGTCCATTTGCCGTTCGTGAAGGGTTGGGGGGTCAAACCCTTGTCCATTTGGGAGCCGCTCCAAGTCGTGAAGGGTTGGGGGGTCAAACCCTTGTCGAAAGGACGTGTGGGCAAAAAAAACCCGGGTTTAGGGTCTATACCTTTACCACTACCGTGGGCGGTGCCCGAGAGGCCGGCATGCATGGTGCCAGTCGCCTAGCTTTACCTAGGCTCCGCGTACGCGTTTTCTGCCGCTCGCGAAGCTCGGGCCGCTTCGGGCTCCGCGGTGGCGGTTGTCGAGCCCTCAGCGTGACTATAGGGTTTAGGGTATAAGGTATAGGGTTTAGGGTCTATAACGGCTCGGTTCTGCAAGGTTGCTCTTTCTCAGGGTTCTGTGGTTAGGCTTTTTACATGCTGTGCGACACACAACCGTGAAAACC